ACGACCATGGCGGATTTAAAATAGATCTCACCTTATCTCTTAATTTTTTTTCAATTTCATTAGCTATTGATTTTGAGCCCAATCTCTTCAAAAACGGAGATGGCAAGAATGGAGTCGGTGGATTTGTAGGGGTGGGTGGGTGGGTTTGAGAATGAAACTTTGCAGGGGTGATGTGGGGTTGGAAGGATAAAAACAAAAGGGCAAATGTGGAAAGTCAAAGCAATTTTAGCATTACATTAAAAACCGTGCCAAGTCAAAGTGAGAAGTTTCAAATGGGACGGAGGGAGTATATATATATATATATATATATATACACACACACACACACACACACATATATATATATGCATATATATGTATGTATATAATATTATATTATATTATATGTTTTTTCAGAAATAGAAAAAAAAATATGAAAACACTGATAGAAGACATCTTCTAATTACAGAAAATATATAGTAAAACATAACGCATATAGGGTTAATTTTAAAGGAAAATAGGAAGTCCTAGTGAATTTAAGAGAAGTTGAAAAGCCTAAATACAAAGTCATACGGGAATAGTGCTAGTCGCTAAGAATTCCGTCAAAATTGAAGGGTCGGGTCTGGTCGGCTAGCATCCTAATTCTCGACTCTCTGGCATCTGATCCGAGAAGATCGCAAACAATAAGTCGATGGTAATTCCCAGGCTGGATTTCCGAAGTCAAGAAGGAAGTGAGGCAGACAGAACAACGACCCAATTTAGCTCCAGAGAAGGACGACCGCGAAGTGCCGAGAGAGAACGACGACCGAGAGATTGAGAGAATACGCAGTGACGATTGGATTATTGAGGTAGGTTTGATATTTTAAAATCAATTGGGCTTGAGATAAGTTATTTAAAAAAAAAGAATTGGGCTGGACATCTAAGATCAATTGGGCTAGGAATTTTTTTTATTTCACGGCGTAAGTTGCCCCAGGCATACCGACTGGACGTCTAGGCGTCTCTGCGGCGACGACTAGGCGAGCTCCGGAAATTAAGTCGAGTCGAAGGAGCATGGCGAGAAAAAAGTTCCGACTGGACGCCTAGGCGACGCCGTAATAACTATGGTTCCAACACCCAAACTATTTATAACATTTGGAAAAAATTAGTGGTTTCATCTTTCCAAACCCATTCTTAGATAAACCACACCCCTGTCTCGGTGCAACTTAAAGAAAATATTTCCCAGTGATGGGAACATAATTTTCCTTAAAAATTATTTTTCCCAAAAAAATAATTTTCACCCAACCAAACGGACCCTTGTCGAAAACAACAAAGAAATAATTTAAAAAACGTAACAATGTTTGAAATTTATTTTAAAAGAGACAAATTATGATCTCAAAGCTCCAAACAGTCATAGCGAAAATGATACCGGAGTAATACTTTCTTTACCATATGGAGTTCCACAGTTCAACTCGGGTCCATTCATCCCTCAACTGAAGTACTTTTGATACAGTGCATTGGCAATGGCTAAAGCATCACCTTGAGCCTTCACTGGGTAAAGTTCAGAACCTCTCTGCCAGTCGTTCGAAAACGCGATCCAATCCTTTCGCCATTCCACCACCTTGAACTCCACATTTTCCTTCAAGCTCTTTGAAAGATGACCGAAATACATTGAGGCACGTGGCAGATAGTAGCTCTCCACAAGCCCACTCCAATACTTATTAGCTGATGTGCAGCAACCAAGAGAGAAAATGATCGATGTTATAGAACAAAAACCCAGAAAAAGGTGCAATATAGATGGATGGATGGAAGAAGCTGTGTGTACCATAATCATGGAGCTTGCTTTGGGTGTTTTCTGTAGTATCAAACCACATTGTCACTTGTGTCCTAGCATTCCATTCGTACTGGAAGAAAAACGGATATATTAAGCAAAATCCAGATATATGAACTCTGCATTACATCAAAGTGTTTACCATAATAATAATAATAATAATAATCATGAAGCACGATATATACTGTATTTACATAACCTGTTTCATCTCGTCAGGATTCACAGCTTGGCGTTTTGCACTCTCAAGCCAGGTTCCAAGCAGAAAACCTTCATCGGTGGCAAGAAGTGTGTCAATGTCTTTGATGAGTTGCAGGAACTTCTGGCTATGAGAACTCAAGGCTTTGGCATCTTTCTCTCTGAAAGCAGATATTGCGTCTAAGTAGACCTGGTTTGCAAGCTTGGATAGCGACTGTCTGGTTAAGTCTACCAAATCATATCTATTGGAACCATAATAGACATCAATGTCAGTGGAATCCAAAAATTACAATTTCTTCTTCTAATTGAACTTCCACGTATGACCGTTTGAAAACCTATCTACTGAAGAACAGGCAATCGGTCTATTTCAATTGAGCCACGATACCCGAACAAATTGAGGTTTATTTATAATGTTGTTCAGCATACGTTTTTTAATTCAAAAGCATTTGATATGATAAAAATTATCATATTTTCTTCAATTTTGACACTTTATTTAACAAAAATATTTTTAGAGAGAGAACTTTTTTTTGTGTCAGAAGAAGGGTAATATGTTCCATTACAACAACAACAACATTACCCCAGAGCCTCAACGGCTCCCGCCCATTGCGGGGTAAGGAGGGTCGGATGTACGTGGTCTGACCCCTATGTTTAAAACATAGAGTGGCTGCTTCCAGATGACCAATGATGAATGTCGAGAGTTGCATTGACCAACTGCTACCTCACAATTACAAGAAGCGCAGACAGTTTAGAGAGCCAATTTGCTTTATTCCATCATACCCCAAAGCCAAAAAATAGTGTAATATATTCCATTATTGTAAAAATTACTAAATTCACTTTTGCTAAATTGAGGTCACAAATGACATCTCATTAATCATTTAGAGGGTGTTTGCAAGTAATTTACCTGTGGGTAAAGTGGTTTTTACAAAAGCGGAAAACAAAAGCATCTTATATCTGCTTCTCCAAAATGGTATTCTATGCGTAAAATGATAGTGGAGAAAAACAGAAGTTGGCATGCCAAACAGAGTAAAAGTGTAAAGCTACTACCACGCAAAATAGAGCTAAATTCTTAAAAGCACTGCAAAGCCAAACACTCTCTTAGTATCCCAATTACCTCTAGTAATTTTTTCACAAGACAACGCTAAGTTAATGCAGATAGATGTGTTCATATTTTAGTGGAGATCGAAAAAATGGATGGGACCAGACCGTTTGTTCTAGACTGATACCGGACCAAATATATTTTGGTCTAGTACTCAGTCCATAAAATTTTAGAATTTGGTTGGTCCGGTCCGGTTCAAGGATGAATTTTTTTGGTTTGGGCCAACTTCACCTCAAACACTACATATTTCTCTATTTATTTGAAAATACTAGTGCATTTAAATTAAATAAATGCGTTTCCTACCATTAAAAAAAGATTAGTAAAATTTAATGTTGAGTTTATTTTTAGTACTACAGAGTATTTGATTTATCCTGTAATAAAATGATAAAAACATAGGCATTTAGAAATATTGTACTGGGGTATATAATTTTGTCTGGGCCTCGATTTGTTTGTGCTTGTCGAAGCAAATTGTGAGTTTGGGAATGCTTTATAACATAAAATTGGTTTTCCTCACAAACCAGGTATACCTTATATGAATTCTGTTCAGTCCATTTCGGTCCCGGTTTTTCCAGTCCGGGACCAAATGCTTTAATCTTCAGTGTACGGCCTGTTTTTCATGAGTTTGGTCCAGTCCTGGATCTATGAACAGCACAAAATGCAGACTACGTACTCTGAGATGAACAGACTAAGAGCTTGTTCTCTTCAACTTATTTTTTTATTACTTATTACTTATTCTTAATGGAATAAGATCAGACCAGGCTAAATTAGAAACAACTTTATATATAACTACAATCAACCAAATCAGATCAAACTTAATAAAATCTGATCAGATCCAATCACATGAGATGAACAGAACAAGCTCTAACACACCTCAGTCTCAAAAATGTATGAGGTGTGAATTGATCCCCTGAACTGGTCAAGGATGCCTCTGTCTATTGAGACTAGGATAATGGTAAGATGGTTTGCACCTAAACCTCATACATTGGAGATTGAAATGGAATTTGCTGAGGATAAATCCAGGTAATGTTTCTTAATTTTACCTGAAAGTTCGGCTTCTAGCAAGCTCAGTTCCTGCACCAATAAATAGTTTCAATGCCTTCAAGACATCGTTGGTAGAATACCATAAATGTGGTCGTGGCAACGAAGAGCTGGTTTCTTGGAAAAAGAATCTTAGCTTCTGATCTCTCGCCAGAAATGCTTTTCTACAATGATGTCCAAGCATATCAGATGTTGTATCTTGATATGGATCCCAGTCAGGAAATTCTACTATGTAATCTTTGTTGTGGTCCTGCATTAAATAATGTAAGTTGTCATTGATCAGGAAATATAGTTAAGATTCCTAGCATCAAATGAGGATGTGTGTGGCCAAGTATTTGTGGGCAGTCATCTTTCACTATCTAGACTCAAATGCAATAAAAAAAACAAACCCAGTAAAATCCCACTAAACATAAGGTTTGGGGAAGGTGTGTGTACGAAGATCCTACCCCTACTTGAAAGTAGAGAAAACACAAACAACTCTAAACTTAATTGCAATTAGTTATAAAAATAAATTTTAGAGCAAAACTATGATAATTGCAAGGAAATTTTTGAAGTAACTTAGCTTAGTAGCTACAATGGCATGAGGCGATTTAATAACTTGCGAAGAGGAACATACAGCTATTCCATCAGTGCAATTGTACACAGTGTGATAAAGTATCTCCCAAGCATCTTCAACTTGATCAACTCTTTTACCATATCTTCTTCTAGCATAGGATTTCAACCATGACTAGGCGGTGGAAAAATAAAAATAACAGAGATCAGAAGAAATACTGTCGAATTACAAAAATAAATCACTAGCTTTCGCTAGTGACAAAAAGTGAAGGCAAAATACAAGAACCCAACTCAAGGATGTTTGTCAATTTAAATGTATTTCAAAGTCTCAACAATTGCAAGCTTTTATATGGATAACTTTTCTGTCTGAAACTTTGTCTATAGGAAAAATGAGATGATATTCTAAAACAATCACCAACATGTGTTTTCCAATTGCATGGAACCATAGTTGTTAAGGCGTCGCTTAGGCGATAAGGTGCTATGTCGTGAACGCCTTATCTGTCCGCCTCGCCCAAGAACCCTCAAGGCGTTAAGGCGCTTGCCCACGAAAACTTTTAGATTTTGAAAGCCAAATTTTAAAATGTTTTGACTTCACGTCATCTTATCTCTTGGGTCTAAATGATGATGAGTATCTTGAAGATGACTATGGTGTTGACTTATCTACTATACATGATGAGTCTATGGATAGATATTGATATCTATATGAATGACATGTTCAAGGATAATTTTTAAACTTGCATGTTTGGTGATTAAATTAATTTTTCCATCATCTCCGATGGAGCCAAAATTTCACCATTTTTTGGCTTTGGGGTGTGATGGAATAAATCAAAATGGATCTCTAAACTGTCTGCGCTTCTTTAATTAATGAAGTAGCAGTTAGTCAAGCAATGCAACTTTCGACGTTGAGCCGGGGGTCTCTTTGGAAACAGCCTCTCTACTTTCGAGTAGGGGCAAGGTCTGCGTACACACACCCTCCCCAGACCCTACTCTTGTGGGATTTAACTGGGTTGTTGTTGTTGTTGTTGTTTGGTGATTAATTTAGTAGGATGGAGATGAACTTTTATTTGAATTATGTTGTTATTTGTGGTCTTCTAAATGCTTGTAAACACTCAATTAATGTCTCAGATTATGTATATACTTTAATCGCATATGTTGTGCCATATATTTATTTGTGGTTATATTGCGTGTGTGTGTGTCTATATTTATGTATGTGTGTGTGTGATTTTTTTGAATGTTATTACAAGGTAGTATCTGTTCATACTATTCTCAACCTAATGACGCACAAAGAGCCAATGCTTCTGCCTCCGCTGGGGTTTGAACCTGGGTGAACTTCCCCATGAACCCAGGGAAGTGCGCTTCCTACCAATCAAGCTAGGGGAGAAATTCTATACATACTGATTTAAAGTCATGTATAATACACATGCACATTTAGTTATCAACAATGCAAATTTCACAAGTTTTATGCAAATGTTGTTTTCTAGTGTGCACAGCTATGAAAGTCTCACCAATTTACAAATCTCTTGCAACACAATTCCATCCATAAGATTATTTTTTTGAGCAGTCTAGACTCTAGATCAATTCCTCTTTTCTACATGACAAAAAGAATGGCAGAAAAAAAGTGAATTGTCATCGTGATAGAACTCAAGGTAGGCGGGAGAAGTAAAGGAAAATATTTCTCAAATTATGAAATCAGGATCTAAATCTAAAAAACAATAAAATGAAAGAAAATGTTTATCACAAGATTAAGAATCTTAAACTCATCTAATAAATCCCAAAGAGAATCTCCTATTATAAATATTGAATTAATTCCTGGATGGCTTTTACTTATTAATAACAATAAACCCAGTAAAATCCCAAAGAGTGGGGTATGGAAAGACTGAGTGTTCGCAGACCTTTCCAAATTCCAACCTCAGTTCAAAACAAAACGAGCACTGAAAAACAAGGAAATATAGTATTCGAACACCGAGTATTCGAATACTAAAATATAGTATTTGAATACTTTGTTCCGTCTTCATTTTGGATTATGTTTACGATAATCCAAAGAATTTTCATAAAGCAACACTTGTCCAAAATAAAATTTGTACCCCGACACCGGGGGATGCATTTAGCCTCTTGTCATAAAGCAACACATGTTCATGCATTTAGCCCCTTGGACCCCACCACCACGGGACACCGCTAAGGAATTGTCCTATCATTGAACAAGCATGTAATCCATACCTCCTAACTCATTATCAGTGTTTATTAAAATCCTTGCATGTTCTTAAGTAAATCCAATTATCCAAAATAGTCGATGACACTAAATTAACCACAATTGCTCCTAGCCTCAACTGAAACATTTGTTAAGCATACAAGGCAGCTCTCCACATATTCGGTCTCATCAAGAATATTATTCAGGCCATTTTTAACTGGTGTATGGCTCTTGAAGTACACAGACTTGCAGCTAATTCTTGCCTTCTAATAGGGGCTGACCTCTCCCCAACCTTTTCCTTCTTTTGAATCCTTTCTACCACAAATATCACTTTCTAAGCACGAAAAACTGATGCGTTCGTTGGGGAGACCTATACACGCCTCAGGTGCAAGCATGACGCAAAAAAGACAACACCGGTAAACAATGTGTGAACACAAATGTCTTATCTTTAAGTGCAATCATTTGTTTATTAGGATTACATTACTTCCGACAAGTAGAAATTATTAGTTTCCTTCTGTGTTTATGAATGTAAGCCTCTATATAAGATGGCAACCTAAACAGATTATAGATTATTATGGAAAGAACAAATAAAATGAACTCTCTCTCCCTTCTTGAATCTGATTGGATCTCTCTTGTTTTCCAATGTGCGAGATTTTACTAGGTCTGTTGTATTTCTATGCTTCCAGGAATTGTTAGAGGAGCTTTGTTCACTGATGTAACATCTATTATTTGTATGAAATAATAACCTTATTTCCATTTATACACACATATGGGTTCCCTACCTATATACATGCAGTGGAAAACATGCTCTGGAAATAAAACATAACATACAAAATAAATAAACCAATATAATTTGCAAACTAACATTTAATATTAGCATTAACTTCTTCATATTAATGTTCCGTGCAAAAAACTTTGATACCTTGATTTCAAAATTGTGGCTCCTAAATGCCATTTCAGGCATCAGCTCATACACAACTGGATTATGTTCTATGCCTTCCATGCACATCCCAACTCCAACCTGTCCATGAAGTTGTTGAGTGAACTTCATAATTAAAGGAATGTTCAGTATATTTTGTGATAGTATAACAAAACAAAACCCAAACTGCCCATTTTATTCCACTATGAAGTAAAAGGGGAGGGGGTGATGGATGTAGACAATAGTTCTACCCTTAGGAATAGAGTTGAACGTGAGAGGACCTCCGACAACTAGTGCAAAGTAGTATGAGGAGAGTAAAATGCACAACAAACTGCAATAAAAAAACATATCTGAAGAAAACATTTATGAAGAAAAATGAATTGTACGAACAAAGTTAATGTCTGCCCAACAACACCAAGCAATGGACTAAGAGGGCCCGACCCCAAAAAGCACCCGCTTACAACCCCAATAACGAATCTACAACCCTAATATGGCATCTCCATGAACTTCTATAAAAGGACCTAAGAGAGGGAGGTAGGAGTTTACAGCCACCGTATTCGGTGTCAATTTCTCATCACTGTATTCGGTCAGGATGTTGATGTAACTCTGCAGGGGACATGGCCAAGCCAGTTTGTCCACTCTATTTATGATTTTGAGCTGTGCCTAGAAAACCACATTCGGTATTCTGTCCATCACTCCATCATTGTACAAACACATGCCCGACACATGCTTATGCGCTCTTTTTTATTGCTCAACACCCAGGCTCACACTGTAATACACCATAGCTAGTCGAATGACAACCCTCTAGAATTTTCCATTCCACTTCAACGTAGCCATCTTGTCGCATAGGATCCTTACAGCATTCCTCACTTTAACCACCCTACCTTAATGTCATACTCGATCTCTCACTCATTGTAGACGATTAAAACTAAGTACTAGAAAATGTCTCTTTGGGATATTCTATGTTCCCCTAATGCTGACTTCTACCCCTTGTCCATCACTCTTCCCACAAAAGTTGTCATAGAGTGGCTAATACTAAACCCTGCTAATCCTCAATGTACCTTCCGGTACCTATGTTTCGACGCCTCTTCTGCATTGTTCTTGCTAGTGAGTAAATATGAATCTCCTCATCTTTGGTCTCCCAATGCCATAAATCTCTTCAAATGTCTTCTCCTTTAACTCCTTTCTGTATTGTTTGCCATCCATGTAAGTTCCCTCCGTCCTACTCATCTCCTCCTCGCATCATGGGGCGTCTTAAAACACATCTGTTTAAAATTGAGTCATTGAATGTAAATTGTACATCTCATGGTACCCTGAAACTCATACCCCTTACCAATGATCTTCTTTGTTAACAAATCTTGAACGAAACAATAAACAAGGAACAATACAACAACAACAACATTACCCCAGTGCCCCAAAGGCTCCCGCACATTACAGGGTAAGTGGGGTCGGATGTATGTAGTCTGACCCCTATGTTTAAAACATAGAGCGGTTGTTTCCAAATGACCCGTGAGGAGCGTCGAAAGTTGCATTGGCTAAAAGCTACTTCACAGCTGAAAGACAGACAGTTTAAAGAGCCATTTTGCTTTATTCCACCATAGCCTAAAGGAAAAAATAATGAATCTTTGGCTCCGTTGGAGATAATGGAAACATAAACAAGGAACAATGTGACAAAAAATAAAGGGCATGAGATAGTTTGCTAACAAAGCCCAATTTAAATGACAATGGCGGATGAAAACACGTGATTCAAGCTTTAAATATTTTGTCAAGGAACCAACTCAACCACAAGCTCAAGCTTGTGGTTGTGGCCTAGGAAAGGTCTTTTATACTCTAACACGCCCCCTCACGTGCAGGCGTGGCCGCTTCGAGCCTTGCATGTGAAACCTTAATTTTTATAACACTAGGTAGTTTTAAGGTTTGAACTCGTGATCTCTTGGTCAATAAGGCTCCAATACCATGTCAAGGGAAAAGTGATTTATACGTACTAACCAAATTTGCAAATGAGAGAATAAATTGATATCACTTTTTAGAAAAAGGAAACTGCATATACGCAAACAAAGTATCTAAATATGAAAATTGAATCACTAATTTTTTTCGTAATTAAATTCCTATTGTATGCACAATATACACGTTCTTTAACAAAGAATAATTGACAATTTAGATTAAGTTGAAGAAAGGGGCAAGTATTGAGGTGTGCATAAGGGACTTCTCTCACCATTGTCGAATTTGCACTAATACGTGCATCAATAGGCCCTGAGGCAACAGAATCCAGTGTTCCGTACATTTCAATATTGCCTCCAAAATTGTGCAGCATACACCTATTTTATATGGGAGATAGGAAAAAAAACAAGATATAACTAAAATCCAGGCTACTAGAGGGCTGCAAAACACAGAATAAAGGTGAGACAAAGCATGTGAGCTAGATTTGCATACCATATATAAGGTGTTCCATAAAATTGGGATGAAGTTTTCCATATTGGGTGGACATCAGCAAATAAATCAAGAACTATCATCTTCCCAAATGGAACAGAATGTAGAAGTGCCTGCTAGAGCTCGATAATGATGTTTATTAGTTCTCTTAATTATATATCTTTTAACAGGAAGCATGTTTGTGGTGTAAAGATATTGTACAAGATACAGATCGCCATTTAGATTGTTAATCTCCACGGTGATTTTTGCACCGGTTTTCTACCATTGGTTTTACATTTAAAAATCACAATAGAAGTGCATTGGCTACAAGGGAGCGACGGCTCAGGATTTACAATCCGTATTACGGACCCCTCAATTGCTATAAAAGCCCACTTGAAAGTGGGTTATCAAAATCACGCATTTACATTTTATACACAATAAAGAAATTTGTCAATCAAATAAATCATGGTTGTTATTGTATTTGTTCATCCTATAACTAAATTATCAAGTACTCCGTAATAAGCATTAAATTGGAAAACAAGAGAAATTGAGACTAAACTGATGCACAAGTGAGAAAAAACCGGGTAGTATTGTGTAAGCACTTTTCACTTGAGTAGTTAAGTACATGATAAATTATTGCAATTACTAAGTCATCAATGACAAGAAATAATAGAAGGTTCTTAATCACATAATAGCATATAGCATACCTCCATCTGTGATGGCTTCCAAAACGAAGAGTCTGAATAAAAAAGCCAACCCTACAGATACATATATTATTTAGAACAAACATTATTCATAAAGGAAAAGCAGATTGGACCAGGTTGCTGGAAGTTCTTCCTAAGCTTTTGCAGCAACCAAGAAGAATAAAGGAAATAAAAAGAAATCACAAGTACCCCAAATATGAAATGCAGTAATATCCTTATAATAAAAACTGTCCCAAATCTACAAGGATTATATTATTGCTAGTCGTGATTATTCCATGAGATTACTTTGAATCGTGTTGATAGTTTTGTGATGTTAAAGTATATTGATGAAAACATGAAATAGTAGAGATGAATGGTGACCTGAAACAAGGAATTGATTAGAGTACTAGATTATTAGAGATAACATACTTGCATTAACCACACGGCATCCTTATCTGCTTTGAACATTGCTTTGTAGACAGCTGAACCAAGAGAAGAGATATATGTGGGGTCCTTTGTAGGTGGAGAGTTTTCATTAAAGGTATCACTGCATTAAATGCATACCGAGTCTCAAAAACACAAAGCACGGGATGAAATATTTTGCTCTAAGCCAAAGAATAGCAACTAAGACACTCCCACCCATCAAAGAAGCCAAACAACTAGGATAACCTAGAATATTATGAGCATCTTCTATTCCACATTATAAAGCTGGGATCACTTGAATCCCCAATTCATCCGAAGAGACTTTTAATTCCAAATCCTCAACTCCTCCAGGTACATGCAGAGATGGCCCTTATGGTGTGCCCTCAGGGCAACCACATATATAAAGAATAGTCAAATCAGACAGCCATATGAACCCACCATATATGTGCCAGTCCTTAAAGTATAATACTTGGTTATCTTTGCTTCATAATATAACTTCATGGTTTTCAAAAAAAATAAAATATATGTAATCTCAAACCTATATCTTTACTTTATCTTTAACCAAACACCTCATCCACTTTCCGTTTTGGGTTGTCTCAAAATATAAGTTTACATTTCCTTACTTTCTTATCACGGAAAGGAAAATGCCTCACAACATCTCTCTCTTGTGAACAAATCGCAACGACACATGTTTACATTTTAACACTTTTCTTAAACTCCGTGACGTCAAATTATAAACTTTATTTAGGACGAAGCGAGTACATATTATAGGTTTCCAAAAAATAGAATTAATAGCTTATGCCAATATACAAAAATATGCAGTAAAAAAAATATTATTTATGCATAACAACCATGTTTCTCAATGGCATACGACTCTTAAAACATGTTTTTAGTACAACTTGATTTTATTAAATCTGATAGAGAATGGATAATAGCATTAATTCAAGAATCTGGATAGTTGCTCCTAGTTAATTTTTCTGGAACAAGATTGTGGAGATTTCTCAAAACTAGCTTCACGCCAGATGGGAGATGGGATAATTGATCTGAGCTATCTCCCATATTGAGGGATTAAGAATCGAATGGTGATAAGGGTGATTGGCAGTTTCTGCCAAGCTTTTGGCAAGGGCATGGAGAATTGGAGAAACTAAAAGGTGAAATAATTTCAGATAATTAAATAGCGGGTTTTAGCAGTTTCTGCCAAGAGGGCAGCAGTGGTGCGAAGGAAACTGAAGAGGAAAAGAGGAAAAAGGGTTTTGAGAACTCTAGGCTCTTGATACCAGGATAGAGAATGGATAATTGTATTGATCCAAGAACAATGAAGAGTACACTAGAGTATATGTATAGGAGGTCATCCTAATAGATTTAAGAAACTACCCAGCAATAAAGGCTCATTTAAGTTTATGAGTATTAATTATTACTATATGTGATTAAAATCACATAATGTTGATATTTTTAAAATTTGCAGTTTCAAATATATAAAACGCCAAAAGTATACTTCTTCACATGACTTTATTTATTTAGGACTGGCACTGACTGCATGGGAGTTCATAAAGAAGAAAAACTGTGCAATTTGATAGGATGGATAAATATAAATCGAGCAAAACAATTGAAGATCTGAATGAAGAAAGTGAAAGATAGTGACCAACTTAGAAATAATTGAAGGAGAAGAATTGATACCCAATAATAAATTAAAATATTGATAAAAATATACCAGCTGTAGATATTTGTGATGCCTCCATACTCTGCCAAACAAAAAATGCTAATAAGAAATGAATAATGAAGTGTGGGTAATGTGTCTCAAATAATAAGCTGTACCACACTGTCAGTACCCTTAGAAAATGAGAGCTATAAGATCAAGTGAAATGAATTAAATATTTTCCAGATTAGATGACACTTTTCAAAAAGGAAACCAAAAGATTAATAAAAAGAACAGATAAACTCACATTAAACCATGCAAATATGTGTTTTCAAATATGAAATTGAATCACAACACAGAGCTCATAATTTAAGTTCTTTTTTTCTTGAATGCATTACAATTTAATATAACATCAGCAATCAATTAGTGAGAAGTGACAAGTAAATCACCTTTAAACTGATGGTGAATGAATGCCTCACCAATGTTAATAAATAACGGGTCAGAAGGATCTAAAAGGTACGTACAGCACCATCGAGGGTCACCGTCCACTGTATTCCTAAGATCAAAGGAAAGTCAAGCATTCACAAATGTGCACACACACATACAATCTAACATATATTTCCCTAGTAATCTCGCGTAAGATGCTATTGCCATAAAAATAAAGGAAATGCAAAAGGAGATCAAAATAAGAGATGACAAGTAGTTAGACAACAAATACCAGTCCCCAAGTCGAGTTATATTTGCGGAGGGAAACATCCTTTTTAATGCAGCTGGTACATTCCCAGAGAATGACGGAAGCACTGGTGGGAAGAATAAAAAAGGATGAAAGAGATAAAGTTACCCTTGCTGGTGACTGCTCATAAACAAAATCAACTTAATTAATACTTCGCATTAACATGTTTTAGATTGATCATACTAGTAGGTAGTAGCTAGCCCGATAGTACATAAACATTTTGTTTTTATGTATATTAGAACAGGTTTTGTTAAAATGTGTGAGATTTAAAATTAAAACAGAGTGCTTTATGTCAAATGAAACATACCTGGGGTCATGCCCAACTCAGTCATCCTCTTTAAGATCAGCTTTTGCAATGACAACTGATTATCCAACCAGTTTTGTGATAAAGGCCCACCCCATCTATTTTCAAGAGAATGATGAAATTTAAAATATCATGGTAAATGTTAATGTATGCATATTCAGCAAATTAAACTACCCATGTAGATTTCCCATACGAGCCCATGCAAGGAAGGCAGGTCCACCAAAGAAACCATTCAAATCTTGTCTGGTCATATTAAACTGTTGCTGTAAAAAATGAAAGTCAAGACTCAGGGGAAAGCTACTAATTTACTATTGCATACATTTATATTTTGTACATGTTTTCCTTTTTTTAGCTTTTTACCATAAAGTAGTTACGTAGAAAAACTTGCAAGTAGAAGAAATAATAGATGTTCCTTATTTTTCAATTGAGTTAATTTTCTAATTGATCCTTTATAACAGGGAGGTTTCTCATATTTAGTCCTTTATTATCAAATATTACGTCTGTTGTCCTTTTTTGATGGGTACTTTCCATGGATAGTCTTTTTTTGACATTTTGTCATACTGGTTCTGAATTGAGGGCTAAAAGTGTAATTTCAGAGCCAATGCAGAGGTCGTTGTTGATGAGTTGTTTGTCAATTGGAGTCGCTATGTCATCTCAAGTCGGAATCCTAATCCACAGCCATAGTCATTATTGTTGTGTAGTCCGTCAAACCGACATTAGAATACGTCACTGGACATTGAGTTGATGTTAACTTACACTTAAGCCCTCAATTTAACACCAACATGACATAAGATAAAAAAGGACTATCTGTTGAAAGGTACAAGGACAGCAAGACCACAAACATAATACTCCCTCCGTCCTAAAATTAGCTTCTTACTTTCCTTTTTTGGTTGTCCTAAAATTATCTTCCCATTACTTAAAATGGCAAGGCTTACTATGGTAGATGACAATAATGCCCCCATCTATTTATTCTTTCCTTTTCACCCTCAATTTCCCCATATCCCCATAGTATGTTTTCTTCTCTGATCATCTACCTTTTCTTATCTTTTCTTTTTGCTTAATTTTCTTGATTCATACAAAAAAGAACCATACCCATGTCTGTTGAAGAGTCCCCGCCCAAGAAAGTATTATCGAGCTTCCCCTACCTGCTGTCTCTAAAAATTACCAAGTATGCGCCGCCGTCTCTATAGATTATTGAACAGTCACCGTCGTCTCTATAAATTATCGAGCTTCCATCGCCATCTTTGAGGAGGCTTTTCCGTTTTAGATCTAAGTGATAAATTCAATCTGCAAGAACTCTGTTCTTTTTATTTGCTTGACGAGACATGCGATTCTTTGTGGTCTTATTTGGGAGAATTGATTTGAGGAGGACGTAGATATGGAGAACTGAAGAACCAATTGAAGTTCCAAATGGGATTTGTTTGATTTGGAGAATTTCGAATTGGGAGTGAAGGTTTGGGTGCGGATGAATATAGGGGTATTTTGGGAAAGTCAAACACTTCCTTAAAAATCACTCCCGATCAAAGTGGGAAATTAAATATAGGACAGAGAGAGTATTTGATAATAGAGAACTAAATATGAAAAACTCCAACTATAAAGGAGAAATTATAGAATTTACTCTTTTGTATCTGTAGGTAGTTTGTTACATTTATATGTGATGTTCCATGTTCATAAAATGTTGTATCCCCCGTCGGTGGTGTGTGCGAATAACAAATGATAGGGACTAGGGTGAGTATATATTTTCTCACATAACTAACAAAAATGGTGAATTTACTTGAAACGTATAAGGATTCTTATACCTATACGGCTATACCACATGACTACAAGATATATACTTGGTAGGAAAGAATATATGAGTAGCAAGTTTGCAACTTTGGGGAAAAGAAAGAATGTTTGCTTTATGCGTGTATTAAGGAGAACTGATGTGAGAACTGAGAACCCCTTAAATGTAACTAATCTTGTATTAAGGAAAACTAAGAGAAACCTTTGGTAGCTCATGCTAGAGGTGGCAATCGGATTGGTTTCGGTTTGGAATTATTCGGTTCAGATATCTTTCAAATATATGTTATAATCGGTTCGGTTGGGATTTAATTCGATTCCATACATTTTTCGGTTCTGGTTTGGTTCTAGGTCAGTTCAGATCCGGTTCGGATGTCAATCGGTTCGGATCGATTTCGATTTCGAATATATTCCGGTTCGGATATATTTCAATTCGGGTATATTTCGGTTTCGGATATATTTGCATATATGTTATTTTTGAATTAAAATCTAATTATCCGTTCATTTCTTTGTCATATTGTATTTATCAATCTATCATCAATTTATCACCTCATATTATTTTATATTTTTCCTAATTACCCTCTCTTCGCCCTAAATATCTTCCATTTTTATCTTTTAAGTCATATTTTATAAATTTGGATTACGAATTATGAAAGAAAAGTATATTTAGTTTCGATATAAAACTAATATAATTGGATTACCAAATTACATATAATTTGGTTAAAATATGTTGAAACTGAGTGAAATTGAATGCAATTAGATAAAATTTGAGTGAAATTAAATACAACTCAAAGCACGTGTTTGGCCGACCTTACAATATTGCATGAGAGGGGGGTGAAAAAATATTTTTTTAACCATGCTCTAGTTTGTATAAATTTTAACTAAAATTTTTTATGTAAGTTGTATTATTCATTTTTTTACTTATTTATAAATAAAATAAATTTAAAACATATGAAATTTTACATTTTGTTTAGATATGTCCATTCATTTTGGGAGATAGGATGTAAGTAAAAATTTGAAATCACATGAATGTAATTGTTCACTAATGTAAATAAATATAATATGTTTATTGTCACAATCAATTTTGGACATAATCGGTTTCGAATCTTATCGATGTCGAGTTTTATTGGTTTCGGGTTTAACCGGTTTCGGATCTAATCGGTTTTGGATTTAAATCGGGTATGGATATATTTAGTTTGGTTTTGGTTCGGATCATTTCGTTTTTTCGGTTATAAATCGGATCTTCACTTTTCAGATCATTTTGGCTTTGGTTTCAGATCATTCAGTCTGGGTAATCGGTTTCGGTTCTATTTTGCCAGGTCTAGCTCATGCTAAAGAGCTGCTGGTGATGAAAAGTCAAAAAGCCTTTAAAACACAATTAGCTACTTAAACAAAGAAGTGATATTATACATACCAAGAAAACCTTTTGCCAGATGGCTTCTTGCCCAGTAAATGCAAGAGGCATGTTAACTCCTTGGAGTGCCATCCAGTCGATTTCTTTCTCCCAACGCTGCCAATCCCACCATACATACGAATCTGCAATGTAATTTTTGAGTTGTGCTAAGCATTGCTACCAAGAGAGTAAAATAGCGAAAAAAACAAATGTGGCAAAAAAAGGTTGTTTCAGGCATGGAATATACTCCCTCCGTCCCTTAAAGTGTTACCCATTTTGACTAAAGTAGAAATTAAGGGAGGGATAATTTTGTGTTGACTTTCCAAAAATACCCTTGATGTGATGGGTAAAAGTAGGATGTGATGTGTAGATTATAAGGAAAAAGGTATGATGTGATAGGTAGGGTTTGAAAAAGTAAGGGGTAAAAGTGGTTTTTTAATAGAAATGGGTAGGAGATTGTGGGACATAATTTTTTTGAAAGGTGTAAATCTTTTTGGGACGGAGGGAGTATAACAAAAACACATTATTTGCTGTGTGGATTTACAGATGTAGTCCAATGCCAGGCTTTTTCCCCCTTGTTTTAGAACTTCACAAAATGATTTCATTCTTCTCACAGTAAAACTTTATTTTCAAAAACATGTAAATCAATGTGGAGCCAAATGCACAAGGCCCTTTCTAATAAACCAAACGAAATATACCCAACAATGGCTAGCAGGTCCCACTCGGAAGTGGGGTCTAAACACACAGCCTCACGTGCGATGTGTGATCTTTTTGCATTTACGTTGTCACGTGCTCTTAAACATCCACTCGGCGAGTAAAAATGTTACAACTTACAGCTTGAGGTGACAACATTTTGGTAGTAATGCCATGGTATTGGCCGTTGAATCATCACACCCTCTTTATCTACAGAAGGTAGTAATCCTGGATTGGGTACTGAGTCTATCTGTATGCCTCCAGTTTTTTCCCATGAAATATGAGCACCACACCAATACTTTAGGTACCAATGGAGGCCTGATGTGATTTCGATTGCTGTAGTTCCTTGTATCCTTGGAAACAAAACCAAGAAAAAGGTTCAGAAGTCAGTGTTTCTGCATGTTTAAGAAAGTTTGCATAAGCAACTACTCCCACCGTCCCAGTGTGTTTGTCTAATTTGACTGTTTTGAGTCAATTTGGATGAACATTGGACCTCAATCAAATAAAAATTGTAATGTATATTAGTATAAAAATGATTATATTAGATTTATCTTGTTGAGAACTTTCAAAATTTGATTTCATTGTATTAATATGCAATACAAATTGAGAGTAATACTATTTGCAATAAGAACATGAGAAAGTGATTATTAATAACCGCCCAAATGCATGCCTAGCTGGAGAGTCTAAAAGAAAAAGGGAACGGTGTACTGAAGAATCTAAGATGTCCTTGTGTTTAATAACCTTAAACTCTGAACTAAATTTGAAGTTCACATTATAATATATGATGCAGACTCAAACCGCAAGTATCAAGGTTATGTGGATAATAGTGCATAAAATAACAGAATTCAAATGTTACAAAATGCAATATGTTTATACAAAAGGTTTGAGGATAACACTAGAACTCACAATTGGGTACAGTCCCTCTTCACGCCTGACGTATAATTCTATCTTTAAATATGACAGGGTGTTGAAAGCGATTGACAATGAACATATTATTGTAATCTTACATAATGAATATACAAATAAATATTTACGGTATGAAGCAGCCATAGGTCTTAGTCAGTCTTTTTTTTGCTAGTTTTTTGGGAATACTCTAACACAACCACACTCTTTACAAATTACAACTATTATCTGGCATTTTCCCTTAAGTTGGAGCATATATATTTATCATGCACAACTTGTTACAATGATACTAAACCTGAGTCTCACTTAGTGTTTTTTAGTAAACAAATCACATAATTGTTCATCTTAAGTTCTAAGTTCACAACTTCACATATCTATAGAATCACGTCTTTCTATATCTTTTATAAAAAAAATCACAATTAACTCCTTGTTCTCTCACATGCAGATTGTGTTATTCCATGTTACTTCAATACCAAGAAAATATTTCAATAAGCCAAGATCCAGCTGTATCACTGCATTTTGTTACAATACATACATGCATGCATACATGCAACACACATACATAAATACATACATACATACGCGCGCACACAGATATATGAAGCACCTTAAGATATTGGTATGTTGCTTCCTAAGTCTTCCATTTTCTTGGCGACTTGTTTACCACACACTTAGAAATGATTAGCTAATACAAAGTACTTATTAGAATATTGAGGACATCACACACCAAATGAGCCTGCTTTAGATGCCTAGAGTACTTATAAGACAAATAAAAGGAAGAAACTGCATACAATATCTTAGGCGAATCTCCACTTAAGCTCTTGTAATTGGTTATTCTAAAGCAGCTTTTCCCACCATAAGCGTCCTACAATTTCCCATCAGCTTTCAAGCATATAGCTATAAGAATAATATCAATCCTACGCAACCAAATAACAATTACAACTTAACAATGACAATGAACTAGAAATATTGTGATACAAAATTTGAGAAGTGTAGTTGAACAGTTGAATTGAATGGTAGTGTTACATAATGGAGGGTAGTTAAGAGTAATTGTATCTTCTTCAAAGAAAACTAGTAAAAATATGCATTAATGGGAATGATTGCTGACCAATGAACAATATCGTGAATTTAAGTGAATTCAATATGCCGCCCAGTAGATGGTATTTTATTCCTAAAGACATGTGATCTAAAACACAAAATAAGTTTTGGCATTCCGGTTTCACCATTCCAAAAGCCAAAAGTGTTTTTTGAGGCTCTAAAACAAAAGAATATTCTGAATGTCCATTTGAAATGTGAAGTGTTTTCACCAGCCCAGCTTATGTTGCTTTTCGAAAGTTGAACAGAGATCAAATCTCAAAGCAAATATGAGTTTAGTAAACTGACTTTTAAGAAAAGTATATCCAAACACAGACATCAACCCACTTTTAGCAAACTAACATTACTGAATGGGCTTTCAGCAAATGAGATTTTATCAAACTTAATCCAAACACAAACTAAGCCACCCTCCTCTGGGGGTGTGCCTATTCAAAGAAGAACCATGGATGAGGATTCCAGGGGAAGAAGATAATAGGGATCATACACTATGTTTGGTTCAAAGATTTTGAAAAGAAATGAAGAGAAAATGGTTTACTCTCTTTTCCTTTCTAACCAAACATGAAAATTTATTTTCCCTATGGAATTCCTTGAACCAAACATAGTGTTACAGGTAGGAAATGGCAGCGAGCTTTACTACCTTGGACACAATTTTGAGCTCAAAATTCCTCAGTTGGTTGGGAAGCAGTCTTTGAAGAACACCCTTGGCTGCGGATTCTTGAACTGAAGGGGACGGTCTTTTCCTGTCCTGGAGTCTCAGAATGGAGTCTATAGCTTCCGATTCTTGCAACGACAGTGAAGATGACGAGCATAGAAACAACAAATTAAGAATCAGTAGGAACACGGATAGGAAATCCAATGTGCACCCCAGATTCAGGTGCGAATTTGGATTCCTCATCCTCAGAAGAAAGATTCGTTCTTTTTTTTCTTTCTTTCTTTTTTTTTTTGGTATTATGGTTCTCTACTTGGGAGTGGCAATTCAAATCTCTAACCTCGCCTTTAGTCTTGAATTTCTTATCCACACAAGCATTTGATGACGGACTCACATTGCTTTCTTTTCTAAATCTCAAAGTGAAGCTAAGTGAGGGGGAAAGATGAACAGTACATTTTCAACAAAAACTACTCATATTTCGAGATATTTTTTATTTTTGAGAAACTAACTATCGGGTACTTCACATTTTTAAAATGTAGGTACCCTCTATTTTGAGAAACTAACTATCGGGTACCTCACAGTTTTAAAATATACTCCAGGATACCTCCAAATATACATTAATTTTACGCCATTAATTTTAAGAAATAGGAGTTTGGAATTTTAAAAAAACCAAGATCTTTTTACTTTGAAGAAAATTGAATACTCAATTTTAAAAGTATTGAGTACAATTTTCTTCAAATTAAAAAGATCTTGGTTACTTTTAAAATTCCAAACCCCTATTTCTTAAAATTAATGGCGTAAAATGTATATTTGGAGATATCCTAGAATATATTTTAAAAATGTGAGGTACCCGATAGTTAAATTTCTCAAAATAGAGGGTACCTCGGAGTATATTTTAAAAATGTGAGGTACCCGATAGTTAGTTTCTCAAAATAGAAGCCTCGGAGTATATTTTGAAAATGTGAGGTACCTGGCAGTTAGTTTCTCAAAATATGGGGTACCCAAGAGCAGTTTTCTGCATTTTCTAGCTTAAAGTTATTGGGCACGGGTTGGGTATTGATTCTTGGATATCCGACTGTGTAGAAGAAAATGGATTCAATTGGGGAAATGAGTTTTACAGTTGAGGTGTTAATTCTTTGATACTCATGGAGTAATAAAGGCTAAATAATATAAATGATTCCCTAAAAGAGAGATTTATTGAGCCACGAACCAAAAGTGCAGTACATTTAATGCATTTAAGAGGCATGCCTATTGGGAAACGAGATTTTACGCCTTAGCCACTCTTCTCACATATTCTGATGTGTCATGTTTCCCATTATGTCTTTCTTTGACACCGTATTAAAAGTTAATGTTACACTGCGACGATGACGATGCAAATTTTGATGTTAGTGGGGGCGAAAATGACAGAGATTAGTGATGTCGGTAGTGACGTTGAAAAATCAACAGCGGCAATGGTGAATTTTGACAGCAGTGGCAGAACAGCGACGAAGCAGGGCTTGGCAGGGACATGGCGGTGGCAACGGCTGGGGCGCATCAGCGTCAGAGGTAGTGGGCATCGGCATTGGCAACAAGTTTGGGGTGGAGCACTGTTGATGAATTATTTTCTTTTTTCTTTGGAACTATAGCAGATGAGCAAAAGGAGCGGCGTGTGGGGATTGAGCTATGCGAGAAATGTACAGAAGATTTGTCTGCCAATTAACTCTTATTTTGAAAATTTTAACTTTTAACTCTTATTTTAGGTTTTAGTCGATATTTTACTTCTATTTTACTCCTTACCTTCTTAAGAAGGTAATTAGCAAGCAGGGACTTTGAAAGCCTTCTTTTGAGTAACAAGTGGATCACATTTGAATTTTCGAAACTTAAGGATTCCATTTCTGATGAGGGGCGAATGATTCTTTAAGACTGGCTGAATTTTTCGTCATTATTCAGATTTGCCGATTTGGGCTTCATCTGCTTGGCTTTTTTTGCTAATGTTGGCTATCTAATTAACTTTCTTTTGTTTTAATTTAGCTTGTATTTTTTGTATTGTACTCGTAATGTCTCCTTAGCTTGGAGATATATATTGTATGAAAGAACCAATGTATTATGATTTGCATTATGTCTTTTATTATACATACCCTTTAGTGATATATATATATATATACACACACACACATAAATCATACCAAGTAATAAACAATATTTTTAAATTAAATAAGACAGATATATATACATTTTCTTTCTTAATTAAATTTTATAATAATTCAGTCATGGTGCCTCCATCTGGTCCACCCTTGCTTGCTTCAGTGTATGAATTCTAGAACCAGCTTTAGCCAAGCCACACATTAAAGTATTGGGTGGCATATCAATTTCAGTGAACAAACTGTGCTCGTTATTCCACACTTTAAGATACACTTGTTGTCCCAAATAATGCCTTGCCCAAACTGCTGACCTTAGATTCCACATCCCTTTGTTGTCTAAGGACACCAATATGGCACTCCAAGATTTTGGATACACCTACAATATTGTATTATTAAGAAGATTGGCATTCACAAGATAAGTTTATATATGTATATATATATATATATATATATATATATATATATATAATATATATATATATATATATAATGAATAATTACTTATTTAAATATTACCTGTACTGTGTATCTAGTTGTGGCATCAACTAGATTGTATTTTTGTCTAGACGTATTCGTCCACACACCCATCTCATACCTTAAAATGAATTATCACACAAACAATATTATAATTATACGGAGTAATAATTATGAGATCTATCATTAATTTAATTTCAAGACTAATCACAAGGTGTGAAGTATAATGATGAAGTACATAGTCAAATTCGTCTCATAATATAATTACACTCGTTGAACCATGTACAAAAGAGGTTTTAAGTTTATTTTATTTTATAAAATGGCATAGAAATTAAAAATAATTTATCATATTGAAAATGACGCCACAGGTTCTAAATAAGGCACACAGACGAACAAAAATTACGGAGGGAATAGATTAGTAAATATGATGATCAATTTTAGGATGAATGGAGTATATAATAGTTAGAATTCATACCCAACGGGCCAAAAATCTTGGCCATCAAGGTGATAAGATTGAAGGGTATCTTCGGAATTCTGGAAAATAATTTCCACAAAGTCATGAAGTTGAAGACCAAAGACACCAACACCGCGAACGGCGGTCTTGCTGGTGTTGGTCGGAGGAATATCTTTGATTTCATTCAACTTGAAAACTCCAGAGATGTTTTTCCAGTCGGCAAGCTTTAATGGTGTGAGTGGATCAACGTAAGAGACCTTATTGATGGCATAACGTGTTGTCCCGTTTATATTTTCTTTAGAGTTGGCTAACACCCACGTCCTCGTTATAGGGATCGTCCCGTAATGGAACGATCCTTGTGGATTCGGCCTTGCCGCATTCGCCGTCAAATTCCACCTACGTACCCAAATCCAATTAAATGTTAAATAGTGTTATTTCTTAAACTTATTAAAATTATGTGATCTTAGAAACGAAAGTAACACTGCACCTTTTCTGTCTGACACCTAAGTCCAATGTGAAATTAATTGTGTTATATCTTCATTCTCAATATTTTGCTTTGTTGGACAAAAACATATATACATTCAAGTGTTACCTTATACTTTTGGCTTGATTCATTGACCAGGGATATTGACCATTTGGTGGATTGGGCAATGGCCCGGAGACTTTCATCGTGGAACCATTATAGTGAAGTGTTGCGGTTGCATTCAGTAGGGAACTTTCAAAACGGCTTGAAGCGACCACGTAGTAGTCCTTAACGTTTGTGGCGTTTAGAGTTACCAAAAACGCCACAGACTGACCAACGTGGATGTCAAATGAGTCATACACGTTTTGTACCGTGTGTGCACCTTCAACTTCCACTAGTTGCAAATTATGGTCTTGGATTCTAAAGTTGATTGACGTTGTCATGCCAATGTTTGAAACCCTAAACATGTATGTTTTTCCTGCAAGTGAATAGAAAGGACTATATTTAAAAGATGATCTAAAAACATCTCTGATGGCTTTACACGATGTTTGGTTCAATAAATTAGGAAGAAAAAGAAAAGAAAATACCAAAAAGGTTTCTTTCCTCGCCAAAATGAATGAACACACTTTCTCTATTTGTAGTTTATTTTGTACTTTCATTTTCTTTGTTTTTCATGCTTTTTTTCTTTTCCTCTATATCCAAGCAAGATTTGTTTTCCTATTATTTTTTATTCTTTTTTCCTTTCAACTTCATTGAACCAACACATGGTGTGAGACTAGTTGTGAACAAAGAAATTAAAGACCTTTATTGGCGGTGAAGGCGACTCGATTGTTAGGGAGTCCATTGATGAGAAGGCCATTGGGGGGTGGGAAAGGCTTTCCGATGTCAAGTAGTCTTCGTAGTACCTTGAGGCCATTTCATGAACAAAAAGTTATTTTACTATCATATAAATAGTAAACAGACAATTTAATTGCGGACAGAGCCATTATAAAATTGTGGAATTAGAAAGTCAACTATATTAGTATCACATTTTTAAAGAATTGATTTATAGTTTCTCAGATAAAGGAGTATATGGATTTAATTCACCTGTGTTAGTAATTAACGGAATTCGACCAACATAAAAAATTATTACATTCCCAAATTAAATAAATATAAAGGTTAAATATGTTTTTGCTCCTTGTAATACTTTTTAAGTCATCATTACAAAAAAATTTATTTTGAAAATAATTCTTAAATGTAATTAAAACTTTGAATTTGTTGAAAAATGCATTTATCTCGTACTCAACATCCCAATTTTGTATTTCTAATTACTTATGTCTCAATTCTCATGCCCTATATTGTACGGAGTATCTTTCATTCATTTACATTCTTAATTCCCAAATTTTGATTATATTATATTTCCAAGAAATTTAGAAATTGAATGTAATATGAACTAGAGCATAATTTAAGACATGTGATATGTGTCGGGAGGTCATTAAAATGCAAGACTATGATGTTGAATCTCTTTGATTATTCAAATTCTCAAATTGGTCATGCTAGAATTGTGTTTTTGGCTTGTTACTCTTTTGAATGTCTTTAATTACAAGATTTTTTTAACTGGACATTTCAAAGATGTCCAATTAATTTTTAATAATTAATTTTTTATTGAAATACTCCCTCCGTCCAATAAAACTATTCCCTTTTGAAAAAAGACGCATCCTTAAAATGACAAATTTAGGTGTTAGTTTCTAATTTCGCTCTTACTTTATAATAGAATGTGATGACATGTATAGGATAAATGAGTTGTAATTAGAAAATAACATTAAAATTACTCATTTTAAAGACGCGTTTGTTTTTCAAACATGCAAGATTTTATAGGAGTAGTTTTATTGACACTCGCACTAACCTTGTGGTCGGTGGTCCACCAGTCGCTGACAAGGATAGTGAAATTGGCGGAAGGCTCCGCGTAGGGAATGGGAATAACGGACCTGCGTCCTATGTTTAGGGCACCATACCCGCCGACTGCCCTTTGCAACTGAGTTGAGAGAAAATAAGTGTAAGTCCCAATTTGATCTTTCATCTGCATGTTATATGTCCAGTTTGTGTTTGGAAGAATGGGACAGTTTGTCCCCGGGACTCCGTCTGTCCACGAGCTCCTTCTCTGCTTTATCCCGTTCCTGAATATATATTTATATCGCATTATATATTATTACTAGGAATTAAATATATTTGGATAATATACAAAATTTATATTTTATAAAATAGAAAATAAAGGAAATTAATTAACTCACCATGTGAAAAGTATAGGCTCATCTAAATGATTAAACACATTAACGATAACGTTGTCATTAGTAACGACGTTAACTTCCGGTCCCGGAAATTGCCCATTTATCAGGATCCCCTATGTGTCGCCGATCACTTAACAAATTAATCAAAGAGCATATATACTCGTATGTAAATTGTATACGAAGAGTATAATTCATAATAATAATAATAATACTATAATTATTATTAGTAATAATAATACTCCGTAAATAATACTACCTCCGTCCCAGTGTATTTGTCCAGTTTGATTTTTACGAGTCAAAATGGATAAACTTTGAACTCCAATTACTCTCAATTTATATTGCATATTAGTATAATTAAATACAATTTTGAAAGTTCTCACTACGATAAATTTAATAAAATCATTTTTATGTTAAAATACATTACGATTTTCGTTTAATTAAATCTCAAAATATTTCCAGATTGACTCAAAAAAGTCAACAAATACACTGGGACTAAGGGTGTAAAATAATTACCGTTTGGTTGACGCCAAGAGGAGAAATAGTTCCATACTCCACAACCCAGTTATAAAACCTATATGGGTCTTCTGCTTTCATTGGCATTGGGAAAATAAAAATAATAATAATGCCCAGGCAACACCATAATAAAAGACCATCCATTTTTTTAATGCTTCTCCACAAGTAGTTCCCTCTCATTTAAAAAAAAAATCTTAAGGTTAATAATTATAATAATAATAATCTTTAAATATATTAATTGAATAAGAAAGCTACGATTTAATGCATTATTAAGCTTGCAGATGGTGTTTATATACTGTATTATATAAGTATGGAAATTGGAAAACATAAATGTCTGTATTTCATCCCCAGGTGAAACAGGTACGGAGTAATTTTTACTGTAAAATGTTTTTAACTTTTTATGTATTTTGATCTTTTGCGCGCCGCATTATTTATTTGTTTGTTGTTAATTACACCGGGATGCGTCCTTATCATCTCCACCAATTCTATAGTGATTTGTGCATGCGTGTTTGCCTGCGTGCTATGAGCCTACACAAATGGCTTTGAATACGAATATACGATCCACACACAAATATTGTTTGTCCAATGTTGTTTTTTTGTATGATTTTAGATTATTGTATTGTTTAATTAATTATTTACTCCGTATTAATTAGGAGTACGATCGATCTCCGTCTCATTGTATTTGTTCAGCTTGATTTTTATGAGTCAAACTCGATAAATTTTGAGCTTAAATTACTCTCAGTTTATATTGAATATGAGTACAATGAAATAAAATTGTGAAAGATCTCAACTAGCTAGATCGATAAATTTAAAAAAAATATTTTTATACTGATATACATCACAATTTTGTTTAAAAGAAACTTAAAGTTCACTCTATTCTGTTTTACCCATTCATATCAGCATGCAGGAGAAGTAGAGACAGATATGGTAACTCGTGCGGTGCAACGTATCACCTACGGTGCGCCTTTACTTTCGCGCTTCTCCGTAAAACAACGCATCTTTTTCCTTTTTTGTTCATTAACGATTTAATTGGAGGGTATATCAGTCTTTTGACTCCGTGCAACGTGGACAGAAATAGGACTACTCTTTATTTGAACATTTATTTGAACAATGACCAGTAGACAGTGAACATTAATATTGCATTAGAAAATAAAAACATATGATGCTACATTGGAAAAATCATTATGTTTTTTTAATAGGTAAATTCCCCATTTTGCAAAGTATGCATCGAGTAGTTATGTGGTTGTTATAGGTAAAATGTTGTTTTAAAGATGAAAATTACATAAACCCCACAAATATGGTGAATTGTTGTAATAGAAGATGTTGAATCTATATAAAAAAAACTTATATTAGTACTCGTAAGAGGGAGTGGGGGGCACCACCATTCACCATAGCAGGCTTACCTAATGAACATAGTGTGTGCCACTACAAACATTTCAGGGTGCGTGGGTTTCATATTAAGCACTACAAACTAATAATTTCCCAGGTATCAATACTTCAATGATCCCAAAAAATTAAGTTGGTTTTTAAAATCACTCATCTGTATCTGAGATATTCAAAGTACATGAGAAATATTATATCCAAGCACCAGAATGAAATGAATGGTCACCCAAAAAACAAACCACCATCACTCGTTCTTCTAATGTCGATGCCCAACAGCTCTCCCACAAAGAAGAGCATTAGAAGGTATATCATATTCGTTTGCGAAATTCTGAACCGAGTTGTACACCCTTAGATACAGCTGCTGCCCTAGGTAACGCCTATCCCATATTGCAGACCTCAGATTCCACATTCCTTGGTTGTCCAATGACACCAGTATTGCACTCCATGATCCTGGATAAACCTTGTGAAAATACAAATTGTGTAAGACTAGTTTGTGCAGGTAGCAATGGTTAGTTTTCTGAGGTGGGTTTGTGCTCAAATTACCTGTGTTGTGTGTCTTGTAAGAGCATCAACAAGATTGTAGCTCTTTCTACTAGCATCCGTCCATTTTCCAGAGCCAAATCTGTGGATGGTTGGCAACTGGAAGATTATTTACCGTATACGGATGATTCATTACTTGCTCCATTCCTAAATAACTGTCTACGGTGATTTTTAGATACATTAGATTTTCAATGAATGTGGACAAGAGTTATGTCTACATTCATTTGATTCTTAATGTATCAAGAAAGTTATAATAGATAGTTATTTTGGGCAGAGGGAGCATTCGCTTGTTGTTCTATTTCACGTGATGTAATAAGATGTTGAGTTACTTACCCTACGACCCAGAAATCATAGCCATCCAGGTGCCAAGACTGCAGGGCGTTCTCGTCATTTTGGAATACGATTTCAACAAACTGATGAAGAGAAGTTGGAAGCACAGACGTAGCAAGGGTGGCACTGGCAGAAGGAGAACTCTTGATGGCATTGAGATTGAAGACTCCGGGGATGTTGAAGTAATCAGCAAGCTTGAGAGGGGTGTCTGGGTCTATGTAAGACACTCCATTGACAGCATATCTCTGCTTCCCACCAATTACTGGCGCTGAATTGGCCAGCAAAATCGTTGTTGAAGGAGTAATAGTTCCATAGTGGAATGAGCCCTGAGGGTTGGGCCTCGCAGCATTCGCTGTCAAGTTCCACCTTCAATAGAAACATTGACATATATGTAAGATTTGACAGCATTTTCCTTTTTTTTTATAAAGATCAATAGATTCAAGCAAAAATGGCCTCAGAAAAGGGCACTTCATGGCAATATGGTGAATGATGGGTACCTAAATGATCTTGCTTGGGCCAAAGACCATTGCACTTCGCCAGCCGGGGCATCTGGCACTGGTCCAGAAACAGCTGAGCGAGAGTTTGTGTAGTGCAGCACAGAAACTGAGTTAAGAACTCGTTGAGTGAACCGTGTCGACGCAATGACGAAATAGTCCTTGGGTGGCTGATCCAAAGTGACAAGAACAGAAAGAGATTGACCGACGTGCACATCAAGAGCATCATAAAAGTTCTGGACAACGTGGGACCCTTCAACCTCGACTAGCTTCATTTTGTGGCCTTGAATTCTAAAGTTTATGGATGTTGACAGCCCCACATTTGAGATTCTGAACATGTAAGTCTTGCCTGAAAAGTAGGTGAGACAGTTAAACATATTTCACTTGAGGGAGGAAAAAAAAATTTACTGAGGTGTTATCATTCTCAGGGTAAACCTTGATTTACGCTAAAAGTAGACCGACTCTTCCCGTTTATAAGTAGGCCATCAGGGAAGGGCAGAGATTTTCCTGAATCCAAAATTTGTTGCAGTTCCTGTTCAGTGCCAAACAATGAAGTATTTCAATGTCCAAGCTCTTATACGCTGTTGGGCTTATTTCAACATCCCATTCAACTAGAGAGAAACACTCTATGCCAAATGACTGAATCAAACTATACTAAAAGATTGAGTCCAATTGGTTAGTTAGTATAATCCAATGTTTCTTGAACTTCTCTTTCAAACATTTTGATGTGGGACTCTTAACAACAAGGAATGTTTCCTAGGTTATTGTATGAAGTCATGTTCTTATACAAACCTTGTGACTAGTCTTGTGCCAATCACCAATAAGTAAACTGAAATCTCCATCAGGTTTTGCATAAGGAACCGGAATGACTGATCTGGCGTGAACATTGAGTGCTCCGAAACCACCTGCGGCTTTGTGCATGAAAGTTGATGGGAAGTATGTGTAGCTACCAATCTGATCTTTAGTTTGAAACTTGTATGTGTAGTTTGAATTTGGTGGGATGGGGCAATTGGTCCCTAAAACTCCATCTTGCCATGAGTTCTTCCTCTGCTTGATTCCATTCCTAAGCAATGTTTAAAATTTAAGTCATTATCATCACCATCACGACCACCATTGTCTCAACCACATTGAGTTTGGTCTATCAATGGTGTAGAAACTAAAAAGTAGTGTCAAAGAATTATCTAAATTTATTCAACACTAAGAGCATCTCCAATAGGGTACCGATTGAGGTCCCAAACAAAAACCCAAACTAAATAAAAATAAAGTATAGTGCCAAAGGGGGATGACTACGTCTACTGATATTTTTCCGATTACCAAATTACCCTTAAAAAGATGACTACATCTACCGATATTTTGTCAAACAGTCATAGTTGATTTTTCGAAAAAAGATGATAAGATATAAAATGATATTAGTAGGATTTGGGGTTTTAGACAAAACACCCACAATATTTTGCCTAGCAAACTTTTGAGGGAAATCATTAATATTCTAGCCGATAAAATGCACAAAAGATGCATCGTTACTGTTATCATGAAAATTCAATTTCATTGAAAATGAACGTCCCCTGTACGAAACACTGACTAAGCAAAATGTGGGTTAATTGTCAAAGATTCAGTCTTGTCACTCTTGTGAACTGTAAGAGTAAAAAGAGGGAGGGAGGGATATACCATGTCAAGAGGAGTGGCTGCTCCAACTTATTGATGAGGTTGAGGATGATATTGTCATTAGTGACCACATCTAAGCTTGGGCCTGGAAATTGACCATTAATGAGTATCACCTGCAAGTTCACGTCATTCAATCATCAATACTCTTTACAAACACAAAGTTAACACACAGTGACCACAATCAAGAAAACAAACATGAAGGGCACGTTTGTCAAACAACAATCGGCAGATGCTCCCTCTCTTTCTAAAAGCTTTTCTGTTTTTTTCCTTTTTTGACCGGTCCAATGAACAAAAATTCATTGAATTGAATTGAACTGAATGGTGCTAAACTGAATTCAATAGTACTAAAAATGAAACCGCCCCTTAATGTACATGTTTCCATATACGTAAAACAATACAAAGTCCTACATATGTGCTTCTTATTGTTTGTCTCCGCACTCTCATAAACAAGCATGAAGGGCATGTTTGTCAAACAACAATCGGCAGATGCTCCCTCTCTTTCAAAAAGCTTTTCTGTTTTTTTTCTTTCTCGACCGGTCCAATGAACTAAAATTCATTGAATTGAACTGAATTCAATAGTACTAAAAATGAAATCGCCCCTTACTTTACTTGTTTCCATATACGTAAAACAATACAAAGTACTATGTATGTGTTTCTTAATGTATGTCTCTGCATTTCATAAATCTCAATTACACCATTTTCACTTTATTAAAAATTGTCCATAGACAAGAACTCTGTGCATCTCTTTAAGACGAAGGGACTTGCAAATAGTGTATCATAAAGTTTGGCTAGTTGTATTGGAAGCATGTTGGCGTAGTGGCAAGAAAGCCAACCCAAAATTCTCCACATCCATTTTTCAAGCCCCACCTCTACACTTAAGAGGTTAAATTATAAAATTGAACAGATACTACATTGATGTGTATGGAAGCTCTTTTTTTTTAAAAAAAAGTTCGCTGGCTGTTAGGGCTGTTAAAAAAAGAGTTCACAAGGGCCAAATAATCATACTCGCAATTTTCGTGCCTAGGAGCAATGCACTCTCTATCTAGCATTTTAGGAGCAACTATGTAACGTTTTAAATTGTTCAGAGGTACTTGGTGCACTTTTTAATGTTAAGGAGTAAATTGTGCTATTTTCGAAGAGTTTGAGGGTAAACGATGCACTTTTTAATGTTCATGGGAAAATCGTGCTATTTTCGAAGAGTTTGGGGATAAACGGTGCACTTTTCTCTACTTCTAAATTCTACTAATATAAAATGTGAAATTACATAACACCTCAAATGAGCATTTTGAGCATCAAAAACCTTCTTTCAGGCCAAAATGCAGACCAAAAAAAGAGCAAATTGCTTAAGCAAACAAGGCCTAAAACTGAAGAGCACTGAGAAGAAAACCTGTTGAGGAACGCCTAGGGGAGAAGCAGTTCCATAGGTCGCAGTCCAAGTGAAGAACTTGTAGTCATCCTCGGCCTTCACCACAGACGACGACGACGATGGGTTCCACAAAATCAAAATAGAAATCGCAATCCCCAAATGTCTCAACGCCATTTTCGCCCTCTTCGCTGCCGATTCCTTGAAGAATGTGGACTCAATCTTGGATCAATATCTTCTGAGCTATAAAACCGGGAGGAATAACGGAATAACTGAGATTTAATCCTCTTTTTCCATTATTTCAGTTTCTGCATTTATATATATCATTATGACTGACTCCAACTAACCCTACATATGGCGAACATACTCCATAAATCTAATCCTTTTTCTCCCCAAGTTATTATGGAGTATGGAGTATTCTTTATAAAGCCAAACTTTGCTTAGAGTCAAACTTTCGGCTATCATCTTTTCCTTATTTTCATTCCTTCTTTTCGGTAAAATAATATTCCTACATCATCTTTTGAAATACTCCTTTGGTTTATCCACTTTTAACTTTTTTGGGTAAAATTGTTAAACTTTAATCTTAAATTAAATAAAAATGACATTAAATATTGATATAAAAATAGTTTTATTAGATTTATTATATCAAATATTTTCAAAATATTATTTTATTTAATTAATACGGAGTATACAATATACAAAGTATATTTTATTTAATTATAGGTCAAAAGTTGAAAACTGTTGATCGAAATAAATCAAAACTGGACAAATACTTAAGGACAGAAATAGTATATATTTTTGTCGTATTTTATTTTGTAAAATTTTAATAAAATTATACGGAATATATAGTCTTTTTGTCCCAAAATTATTTGTACTATTATTATTCTAGCCTCCTAATAATGTTTGTTTACTCATATGTATTCATTGTTCATTTAATAAATAAAAATTTTTTGATACATCTTGTTTTCTAGAACTTTTTCAAATTGTGTAATTGGGACAGATGGACATGTATTTTCTTTAATTTTATAGCATTAATTTTCAAAAAAAAAATTTAAAAGCATTTAAATTAAACACGGAGTAATTTTAAAAATATAACAAAATGAGGAGCATTTAATACTCTGCAATTTAGTTGGTTATTTAATGTAGAAATTAAATTAAAATTATAAGGATCATGCAATACTTACACCAAAATTTGTAATTTAAACTTACACAAAAGGTGTACACCAACATTTCGATTGTTCACACTGACACAAAGTGTTAGTATGTTAATAAAAATTTATACTGACACAAAGTATTAGTGCGTTAACAAAATTTAACATTACACATATACAAAATGTTAGTGCAGGACTACGGTGTATAAATAAGGTATAGTAGAAGACTTTGAGATACAAATAATTTTATCCAAATAATATTCCAAAGATCCACAAGATGAAGATCGCATAGTAGAAAACGATAGGCGCCCATGTGATATGTTGTCACCGACACTGCGACACAATGGGCAATGGCAATAGTTTATCATAGAATAAATTTCATAATTGGTCTTTTATAATATGAAGATTTCCATATTTAGTCCTTTATTATCAAATATTACCCCCGTAGTCCTTTTTTAAGGATACCTTTCCACAAATGGTTCTTTTTTTATCTTCTGCCGTGTTGGTGTTAATTTAAAGGCTAAAAGTATAATTTGACATCAACATTATGTCTAGTAACGTGTTCTGATATTGGTTAAGCGGATAACACAAAAATAATGACTATGATTGTGGGCTAGGATTCTGACGAAAGATCACATTTGTAGACTATCGTTGTCGTAAAAAGCGACTGTAATTCACAAATGACGCAAACGGAACAGCCTTTGGAATTGTGTATGACAAAAAAGATATATTATCATTGTGAAATTACAGTTTTAGCCCTCAAATTAACACCAACATGATAGAAGATCAGAAAAAGGACTATTTGTGGAAAGGTACCCATAAAAGAAGGACCACTGGGATAATATTTGATAATAGAAGACTAAATAAGGAAATCCCCTGTTATAAAGGACCAATTATAGAATTTACTCTTTATCATATCACTAAAAATGTTTTCATTTCTTCTCTATTTTCAATGGTTTATCATCTATATTTTCACTAAAAAAATGTTTTCACAAGTTCATACCTATTTTATGAAATTTTATGAATCTTAATATATAAAATCATTATATGTATTATTCCCTCTGTTTCTGAGTTTTTGTTCAGTTTTGAATTTTTGTGATCAATTATTTTCAATCTTTGATCTATAATTAAATAAAATATACATTGTATATTTATTAGATAAAATAATATTTTAAAAATAACTAATATAATAAATCTAAAAAATTTGTATTAATATTTAATATCATTTTTATTTAATTTGCAATTAAAATTTACTAATTTTGATCAAAAAAATAAAAAATAGAAAAATACTCAAGGATGAATGAGTTAGACATTATAAAAATAAAGATATTCAATAATACACTCTTAGAAAATGATAAGATTCACAATCACATTTTAAGATTTTAGCTTTTGTCCCATGTGATAGTTGTTTTGTTCTATTTGACACGTCAGCGCTTTTACACCATTATTTTGTACATAAAATATTGTTTCACAGAAATAAATATAAAATACTTTTGTTTTCAGCTCCCGTAAAATTACTTCATCCACGCTTGAATCACTCTCAAACACCATCTTAGTACCATTATAACACAATTTTTTTCATTTCCATTGTCTCAAACTCCATTTACATTTTCACTTTCTATTTTTAAAAGAAAGAATACACGTGTTTTTCTAAGCCAAATAGTATCAATACCCTCCATAGTTTGGAAAATAGGCATCAATACCTCTCTTATTTTCAAAACTTATTTCTAAAGTCCTCACAGTTTCAAAATGTTGCACACATACCTCCTATGATCATTTTCAAGTGAAGAACCTTAATGGTCCCAATTCCAAAGACCTTTTTAGGCATTTAAAAAATTCGTTTTCGTATGCCTTTTTTGCATGTTTCAATTTTTTTCTGTTCGTTTTTCCATGTGTTATTTTTAATTTTTTTACTCTGGATATTTTTTGAACTTACCAAAAAAATTCTAGAAACCAAAAGTGAAAAATGTTTAATTTGAGATAAATAGAGTATATGTAAATTTTTATTTGTATTTCAAACACAATTTATTTTGAATTTTAAAAAACAATATAAAAAAATTGAAAAGAAATTTAAAAAAACTTTCATAGGAAAAAAAGAGATAAAAAAGAGTTAAAAATAAAATAATAAATGAAAAATAAGAAATGAGTACGAGTGTCCCCTATGATTTAGAAATTAGGCACCAGAAGAGGTGTGCATGCAATGTTTTGAAACCACGGGGAGTTTAAATATAAATTTTGAAAATATAGAGGATATTGGTACCAATTTTCTAAATCATATGGGTGCACTGGGGAGCTATTTTAGATGTTTTTCTATCTTATACGAGGTGGATAAATTCAAATTATACTTCGTTCCCAAAAAAATTATTTATAGTTTCATCTTTTATACTCCCTTCGTCTCGCTATATTCGTCTACTTTTGACTTTTGGAATTGTTCATTTAAGCACTTTGACTCATCAAATAAGTGTATTGGATGGTGTGTAAAAATGAAAGTAGACAAATACTCTATGACGAATTGAGTATTGAATTCTATAATTTTTTATCATGAATTATAAAAAAAGTAAATTAGTTATAATGCAAATTTATTACTCCGCATAATATAATTAATTGTAATATTGATTCTCATTGAACATGTATGTATTTAAATTTGAGTGGTGATAGTGGATGCAATGACACATTCTTTGAATTATATCTGAGCATTTTAATTAATATTCCCTCCGTCCACAAATAAACTTTACATTGCGCGTTACGATGTTTGACTGAAGTTATTTTCAAATCATTTTATATGAAAAATGGTGTAGAATTGAAAAATAAAAATTACATATTAAAAAACTATATCAAAAGATCTACAAAACTAGAGGTGACATGACTATATTATTTTATCAAATAGGTGACGAAAATAGGCCAACAAAGTGAATAAAGTTTGACCCTGTGAATAGTAAACGTAAAGTTTATTTGTGGACGGAGGGAGTAATTATAATACCAATTCCTTGAATTTTTTTATTTTTAATAATTTTGAATTTTATTGAAAAGTAAAAGCTTAATCTAATGTCAAGTACTCTATATTATTGAATGGAGTTTAGCTCATAAATCAAAACCCACACAATATGTCACTGCCACATGTATATTTCATATTATGGCACATGTCATACTCTTATGATTAGAGTCTCAAATTTATATGTAGGGGATAAAGGATACATAAGCGTAATTCTTTTAAACCAAAACTGTTGTTGCTACACAATAACTCAAATTTCGGTCATTTGTTTACCCCTATGTATTTAATTATGAAATATATTTCATACTTATCTAAATTGAAAACTCCCTAAAATAAAAAAAACAATCCGAGCCGATATCTAGCTACTCGAATCGGTATACTCCGTATTATGAAACTGTATTTAAATCGAATTAAATTTGAATTATAATTTTAAATTGCAACAATAAGATTTAGTAAATCTACAATAACAATAACATACACAAATTAATCTTTATTAAAATGAACTAAAATTTAGTAAATCTACAAGAATTAATATTAATAATTAAAAATGTATTGAAGCTAATATTGTTACATGTAAATCATATTTTAAATTGGAAAATCTTATACTTAAGATTTGGTTTAAGATGAATTTAGAGTGACAATGAGCAGCGACACCGAAGATGTCTCTTTTAAGATTTTTTTTTAGTAAAATGAAAAGATTATCTCAAGACCGATAGGAAATATAATAAGGATAATGCTCTAGACCATTCTAGAGATATCTCGCCCTCTTATCGACATTCACATATAAATGTTACCATAAAATATTTGTATATACTAGTATCACACCCGTGCACTGCACGGTTGACATTTTTATAAAATACTGCCTTTTTTATTTGTTCCCCAAAATGGTTCCAATACTTTTTATTAAAAAATTCAATTTATCCTTTTTTTCTCTTGCCTCTCATATCGCATCATACTTTTTCACTAATAATTTATCCAATTGAGATAAAATGTGAGATTTGAGTTGTGTTTTCTACTTCCTTCGTCTCTCATATATTTCTTCATTACACATTGCAAGGTTTGACTGGTTTCAATTTCAATTCAATTTATTTGATTATATGTTTAAAACTTAAAAACAAAAATTATATAGTAAAAATTACATGAAAAGTTCTAGAAGATAAGAATTGACATAATTATATTATTTTATAAAATGAATAATAAAAACAAACAAGCAAAATGACTTAAATCTGATCATGTGAATAATATTTTAGAAGATAAATGGAAAACAAAAGAAATATAAAATACACTTATTCATTGCACACAAGCCCAATCTCACTGGACAGGCCCAAAAAGGTAGCAACCTTAAACCCTTGTAGTGTTGGACTGAACCCCATTCTTTCACCTGAGTCTCTCCGGCTACATAGTGGGCCAGCTCTATTTCTCCGGGAGAAAGGCGAATCCATGTCGAAGTGGTGGCGTTCGGTGGCTGCAGCCGGGCACGGCTTAAGAAACGCGACGGAGGCGGCGAGCCGACGGTCGTATTTCACCATTCAGGCTATCCCAAGAGAGGCAACAGGGAGCGGAGTTTCCTCTAGGGACCGAGCACAGGGCCGGATCCCCGCCGTCGTCTTCTCGCAGAATTACGTCCTAACAAACCCTAACGACACGAAATCAATCGCCGCGACGGCCGCCGTCTCCCGGAAACGCCTTCTTACAACCGAGAGAAAGCAGATCAAGACCATCATTGATTCCATCGAACTCCCGTTCTTTTGCTCCACGACATTTCCGTTGCAGATCCGGGCCGGGTCGGGCTCATCATGTTTGCTAGAATCCGGGAGAGTACTTCCCATCAAGGCAAGTGATGATCGATCTTATCAGAAGCAATGTGTTTATTTGTGGTGTTTTATGCTTTTCCTCATCCAATTTCCGGCAATGTAGATTCACACACACAAAGAGACTGGGAAGATACTGAATTTGGTCTTTGTGTGGGCTGAAGATGGATCCAAATTGAAGGTGGATATCCCTGTTGTTTTAAAAGGAGAAGACATCTGCCCTGGTGTGAAGAAAGGTTTGTCTTTTGATATTCTTCAATGTACATTTCCTTGTTTTGACTTGCTCGTAGGGAGGTAACTATAGCTCTAAGATGGTAATGATACGGGTTTTAAATATGTTGTCTCGTAGAACACACCAAAAATTTTACGTTACACACAATACAATTCGTACCAGAATTTGTGATGTTAAATGAACATGCAAGTTTTTGATCTTCTTCCCTTGTTTGATTTATTGTGGACCATAACACCTTTTGTCACAATATCGGTTATCCATCAACGATGGGATTGATAAAAATTAGGTTGCTTCTTGACCATAAGATGTAATGATCTTTATATAGTAGTCTTTCAGGCCACCATTAAAACTCTAACATGCCTACAACTTGTGTCTATGTATTAAGCACATGCAAAACTATGTCTTAATGCCTTCCTAATGAGATTGTTTAGGACACAAGATTAAGTTAGCCTAGTGATTTATTCACACACAAATATAAGCTGCATTTAGTGTGACATGTATAACATGTCTGATAAATGAATGATACGGAGTACATAAGTTCTCTCGCATTGTTCATGAGCTGTATGCATGTATGGATGGCATTTATATACTCTCTTTTTTACTGTATTCTAAATTTATATGCTCACTGCATATTTTCTTATCAAAGTTTGTGATGTGTGGTCTTATAGACGCCCTATTTATGTAAATTATGTCATTGTGTGTTGTGTGTAAATATATATGTTGAGCTGCTTATATTGTAGAGTCATTGATGGGAAGCATCATAGTGATTAGTGACCCATAATTACAGCAATCGGTTCCAATTTCTTAGATGTTGAGCATAAATTTGTACAATGGACATTTTGAGAATGGGGTTTATTGAGTTTGTTTTTTTAAATGACAACAAACAATTCATTCCTCTATTCAAACATTTGTACCTAGAAAAAAAAGGTGCTTTGTGTAAATGGTGCTTTGTAGCCATAAAACCATTTAGCTTTTGACGAGATATTTGAGATCATTTTTTGTTTCAATTTTGGATTTTGTAAGATGGATTATAAAGTTTATAGATTTGTATTTTGTTAACCACAAAGTTCTGTTGACAATATCTGCATATCATAGACTAACCATGATCATTACTCAGTCAACAATAGCGTGCTCCCAAGTCATTTTTCAAAAGCTCTACAAAAAAAAAGAGAATTCTCTTTTACAATGTTAAAGTTAGCTAAAGACATTGTAATTTGTGACAGTGTTACTGTTTTATCTGTGGCAAATGACAGGTGGTCATCTAAACAAGGCGAGAAAAAGTTTGAGGTTCTTATGCCCGGCAGAGAAAATTCCTCAAAAGATAGAGGTGGATGTGAGCAATCTTGATATTGGCGACAAAGTACTGATGCAAGACATCAGTATTGACCCAGATTTGGAGCTTCTGAGCACATACCCTGAGATGCCTGTATGTAACATTCGAGCTACTTATTCTGACAAAAAGTCCAAAACTGCCCCCGTTGTATGATCTCCTGAAACAGCAGTTGCAGCGTCTAGGTAATCTTTCAAAAAAGGCAAGGTTTTTGTTCTTAAACTGCAGTCAATGAATTGTAGTTTCGTTTGCCCGACATAATGAAATTGTGTTCATTGTTCTTTTATTACTGTGTTTCTCAAATGGAATGGTATATGGCCATACCGTTGGTCATTGTTACTGCTATTATATAAAAATTTTGTAAAAATTTACCTCAATAAATAAGCAACTTCCACCAAGCTCCATTTTCCAATCAAAATCTGGAGTTTTGAACCAAATAATCAATTTACCATTCGTCCTCAATTTACCATTAGACCAGAACACAGCCTCCCTCTCTCTTATTAGCCATCTCCCTTCCACTGACTCCCCCTAAAACCCAAATCTTGGTAGAATTTACTTGGTTTCCACAATCCCTAATGCCTTCATTGACGGTTCTTCGTTGCACGCTAAACTTAATTTTTGTGGCTCCCATTAATTGACAAGAATTGATAGTGGTGAATGTTTTAAAACAAATCGTTTGGGGTTGTTTGCAAACCATCCATTTTCAAGGGGTTCTTTTCATAATGCTTTTTATGGATACTTAAAGTACCAAAAGGGAAAGTTCAAGAGGCAAGTTTGAAAGCAGGAAAGCAGAAAAATGATCTGATGACCAAGAAAGAAAAATGTTGTAAAAAGTTTCAAAGCAAAGGGCAGAAATCAGGGGCAACTTTAAGACATTTCAACCAATTATGTATCACACTGTCTACCAATGTACTCCACTATTAAAGTCCCTTCTTCATCATCAATCTTCATTCAATTCGAGAGATTCGAGAGTAACAATGGATGCTCCACAAGTCCAGCAGGTCCGTGATGAAGATGATGAAAAAGACAACGCCATCAATGGCTGGTAAACTATTTCTTCTTCTTCTTCTTCTTCTTTCTGATTGTTAAAGAGCATCCCACATCGGAAAAGTGTGAGGAAATTAATCGGTATATAAGCTCTAGAGTTGAACTAGCTAATCGATTGGATTCAATCTTTTAATGTGGTTCAGCCCAAGTGTCTTATAGCCCAATCCAGTTGTCCATACCCATCCTAAATTCTATCATGGTATTTGAGCAGGTTTTGGCCCACCTCGTTTGTCAAGGTGTCCGTCTAGACGTTCATTCCTAGCGGCCCGTTCGTCTTTAGCCTAGTGTTCCGTATGGAGTATGTACCCAACGGCCTGTGGCCCGTTTAACCCGATTGCACGTTTGGAAGTCCATACCCAGCGGCTCGTGGTCCTTTAGGTGTTGGCGCTCAAAAAAAAAGTCAAGGGAATGGGAGTTCATTTGCAAGTGGTCAACCGGTTAGATTCAAAATGGCCCGGTTGTCCACTTGAGGGGGAGTGTTAAAGAGCATCCCACATCGGAAAAGTGTGAGGAAATTAATCGGTATATAAGCTCTAGAGTTGAACTAGCTAATCGATTGGATTCAATCTTTTAATGTGGTTCAGCCCAAGTGTCTTATAGCCCAATCCAGTTGTCCATACCCATCCTAAATTCTATCACTGATTTTTAGGGGAAAAAAGTAGTGGTGTCACTTACAAGAATGACCTATCATTCGGACGGATTTTTGTCAAGAGTATATCAATTTTTTTCTTGAAAATTTTCATCATTTCATAACAATATCCATATATTTTCGATCCTTTTCTGAGCCTCATATTACAAGCTTAACTTTTGGTTGACCTAGAGGCTTAATTGTCCAAATCTCAGTGCCTCCCATATTTATAAATTAATGTTGGAGGCCTAGTAGAGTATAAAGTGTTTACTGGATATCTTTATTCATCATCAGTAGCCAATGAATACAATTAAATCAACATTCCTAATTGTGATTGAGAGTTTAATTTCAGTATACTATAGACAATAAATTGTCTTATTCTTTGGGCCTGTTTAGGAATAGTGTTAGAGATTAGCGTTAGCGTATTGAAAAGGCAATCTACGGGAAGCATTTAGCGTTAGCGTTTTCAAAGTAATATACACCGTTGAAATTTTATCCAAAATGCTAACGCTAATCTCTAGCGTTATTCCCAAACAGACCCTTTGTTTTCTTTTTTTTCTTTTTTCCTCACGGATATGGATGTTAAGAGCCTGTTTGGTAACCTGATATTCGGATTTCATTTCATGCCTCATAGATATGGATATTAAGAGCCTATTTCGTAACCTGGTATTCAAATTTCTTTCTTTTTGTACTTCAATTGTGTTGCAGCTGCTCTATCTTTTACAATACCATCAAGATCCTGTTGGAGCCTTTATGCAGCAGTGATGCTTAGGCAAGGTCTCGTCCACCGCACGGCGCTCTTTACCGTTTAGTAGTATTACACGTCGTGCTTCGCACAAGTTTGGATTATTTGTGGGTGTTGTTTGTACTTTTGAAGTATGGGGTAAAATGATTTGCTTGAGTTATAGTTTGAAGATGTCTGTTAAGTATTATAAGTGAAACATTTAGGATGAGGGCGCAAATATGTGTTTTTTGAAAAGGTTTCAAATAAGGTGGAATAAGATAAGGTGATGAGATCAAACCACGTTTGAGTTAGAAGTCGTTTATTGTGATATTTTGTCATTACTTTAAAAAAGACGTTATGTTGTACTGACTAGTGTAATCTCTTAGATGAATGTTTATAAGCAAATGGTTGTTACACAGACATGTACCCCATAAACAAAGGGATTGGTGGGCGTAGTTGAGCTGGTTGAGCAAAGAGTACTAAAGTTGATAAACTCGAATTCTATTCTTGGAAACTGCGCTAGGAGGTGACAGTGCGTAACGTATGACCTCTGCAAGCACCAAAAGCGGGTTTCACCTTTTGCCAGTTAGACTATGATTATAACTTAATTTACTTTCTCTCACGATAACCATCCGGCCAGTTTTAGGTGGCCTTTGGGCATGAGGCTCATCCTGGACTTTTTGAAACAAAAAAAGAAAATAGTAAAAAATTGATAAGAATGGGATAGTAACATTTTTTTGTGATCAAAATGGATCACTAAAGTTTAGCTTTGCATGAGAACAACCCTTATGATTAATGTTAACTTTTTAAATAATTTTGCAACAATTTAATTTTGAAGATGTTATGGTAGTATTTGAGAACTTAGGTTTCATGTATATTCTTAGGTTTCAATTCTAAAATTCAAAATTTTTAATTTTTATTTACAAAGCCAGTGTATAGATTTTTAATTGCAAAATTTAAATTTGATCAAAATCTAATTTTTTGGATTCTAGATAAAAAATTATCTAGCTTTTATAAAAAATTTAAATTCATCATAGCTTAAAAGTATTCGTTAGATAAGATTTTCAAAATATTGAAATGAAACACTAATCGCTAGGAATCCTATAACTAATGGCAAAAAGAGTGAAAAAATAATTATTCTTTGGATGAGTAAACAATAAAGAGAAAATGAAGAAGGAAAAGCAGAGGAAAAACAAAAAAGAATAAAGAATAAAAAAATACTTTCTCTGTCCTTGAGTATTTGTCTACTTTTGATTTTTTTGGTTAAAAATGATATTAGATATTGATACAAAAATAGTTTTGTTGGATCTATTATATCAAATACTTTCAAAATGTTATTTTATTGAATTAATATACAATATATATTTTATTTAATTATAAGTCAAAGATTGAAAACAATTGACCAAAAAAATCAAAACTGGATAAATACTCAGGGACGGCGGTAATACAAGAAAGAGTCGTGCTATTATAGTCTTAAAGTTAGCACGTACTGCGTAAAATGTAAACTTTCTTACAAATTTTTCATGAGTACATGATTGAATCTCCTTATTTTTAGCCCAATACATAAAATCATTTTATGCAAGAAGATCCATATGATAAGTATGAAGGTAAGTAGAAAAAAATACGGAGTAATTTGTCTACAAGAAAAAGAATACTCGTAGACAACATCTTTTTCTTCTTATATACAGAGAAAATATTTTATGTCTATTCTGCCACTTTTTTTTATTTCTCTTCATTTTTACCCACCCAAATAAGAAAAAACTGTATTTAAGTTTGTGTGTTTTTCTTTTTTCGTTTATCTTAATTTTTTTAATCTAATTTTATCTCTATTTAAATATAAAATGGAATGATGGCTATAAACCACCGAGAGTATAAAATAATAGAAGTTTTAGAGAGAGAGAATGCAAAGTAGGAGTATATTGATTTCAAAATCGGGATCCATTACAATGAGGGGTGCCACCCCTTTTATAGGGGTACAATAAGCTAAGTCAAAGCTCTCTAATCGATGCCCGTCGTCTAGCGGACGTCACCTGTCCTTACGTCTTGTCCCTTTCATCCTATCGCTTTCCTCAAGTCTCCGTTGAACGTCGCTTTCCGCATGTCATTGTCGCGGGGCTCGGGCTCGGCTTGGTTGGCCGAGCCGAGCAGGGAGGACGAGCGGAGCGCAGAGCCAGGTAGGAAGGACGAGCGGAGCGCAGAGCCGGGCAGGAACGTTCAAAACCGATACTTAGGAAATTTGTGCTGATGTCCGTCTTAGGCCGGTGTGGGGTTATTCCCCATCAGAAGCCCCCCACTCTCCGGGTTCTGTGGTTGTCTAGCAGCGGAGCGCGTGAGAGTAGAAGACACGGTGGGCGGTCAGCTTACGGGCCCACGCGTAGCTTGGCGGGCATGTGGTGACGCTTGGAGTTCCCCGCGAACGGTTGTGGCGCTTCGCTTCTCCTAAGTGGCGGTCCAAGCGTGACACCTGTCTGGCCCATTACTATTCGGGCCCAAATTTAGTATAAATAACCCCAAAGCTTCCTTCATTCTCACATTCTAAAGAGAGAGGAGATACATTAGGGTTTGCGCCGCCGCCGCCGCTCGCTGTTCCTTTCCGCCGTTCGCTGCTTTCCGATCGTCTCTTCGGTGACGCACTCGAGGTCAGTTCCTCTGTTTTGCTCATTCCATGTCTGTCGAGTCTTCCACCCTTCGTTCGTCCGAAGCAGAGCACGGGCTCGTGCTCGGCAGTCAGGGTTCCGTACCCCAAGACGGTCAAGCGACGCAGCCGGGTTCCCCATCCATTGAGGAAATCGCGGCCGTAGAGGTGCCTGGGGAAACCCCGCCTCCAGAAGCGCACATTGCTCGTGGACTCGCTCATCCGCGAGTGCAAGTGCGACTTGTCGAGTGACGAGTTCCTCAAGGCGGTGCGCTACGCTGGCCCCCTCGTGACCGTTCGTCGCCCTACCCCAGAGGAGTCGGTCTTCGACGCTCCTCCGGGCTACTTTGCCATCCATCTTAAGTCCCTTGAGAGCGGCTTCCGCTTCCCCCTCGAATCTTTGGTCATCGACTTCTTTAAGTACTTTGACTTCCTCCCGTGTCAATTGGTGCCAAACTCGCACCGGTACTTGGCGGGGTTCTTGATCCGCTGTCGGGAGATGGGCGTGCGTGCCGACCTTGAGCGCCTACTGACCCTGTTCCGAGTGGCTAAGTCTTTCGGGTCGGATGGGGGTTCTTTTGCCGCCCTCTGCCAGCGGCAAGAGAGACTTTTTAAAACCAAGAAGGAGTCCAACAGGACTTGGAAGTCCAAGTTTGTCTTCGTCTCCGTGGGGTCAGCCTCCCCCTTCCGAGACACTCCCCTCAGCTCTTTTCGTAGACGATCCAAACCCTTTGCCTCTTCCAAGGCTATTGCTGATACGGATAAGTTGTGTTCGGGTGGCCCTTACGAGCCCGGGGTCTTAGTGAATGACGAAGCTCTTGCCAAGTTCGGGTTCGTCTTCCATGATGAGGACAAGCCCAAGCGCCGCGTCGTCCAGAGCCAGCTTGAGGAGGGACCCTCAGGTTTTCTTTGTTCAATTATTTGGCGGATTTATGCTCCGTTTGCAATTTGTTCAGGAGATTCGAACTTATCTCTTACTTTTCTTGCAGGTGAAATAATGATTTCCGCGACCGATCGGAAGAAGCTGTTCAAGTCTAAGGTGCGCGCGGAATCCAGCCAAGCGCGGCCTCCGCTCCCCACTCCCACACCGACCGCCGGGCATGCCCAGGCGAGTAAGAAGCGCAATGATGTGAGCTCCTCGATGGAAGGGGCTTCGTTGAGCAGAGCGAGGTCCCCACCCTCGCACTCGGTTGACTGCGGGAACCCGGCCTTCGTGAAGATGGCATTCCCCCCAAGCCTTCGTTCTTGCATGGGGACTATGAGCCTCGCCGTTTTCTGCAGAGCTTCATCCCTCCGCCAGACCGAATGGAGATAAGTTCGGCCGCCACGCAGGACCTCGCCTCCACCCTCTTGCTTGAGTTAGGCTCGGTAGGCACTATTTGCTCTAGACTGCGTGCGTTTCTGCCCGACACTTAGATGGATTCTAACAAATTTTGTCGGAATTTCACTGTTGTTGTAGGTGGCCATGCGCGCCCTAGAGCTGGTGGAGCGCTTCGAGTGGTATGTGGCGGAGAAGGCCAAAGGCGAAGAGGAGCTTAGGAGGCTACAGGAGCATGTGGCTAGCCTCGAGGGGAAGCTCGCTGATGCGGAGGAGCGGACTCGAGTTGCGGAGCAGGCCCGCATTGCTGCTGAGGAGAAGGCGCGCCGTCTTGGTGAGGAAGCCGAGCATGTAATTGAGGCCTTTCAGACCTCCCCCGCATTCGAGGAGGCGGCTCTCTCCCGCATGGACAATCTCTTGAAGGTCTGGGCTCAAACTCCCGCCGGCCAGCGTCTCCTTTTCAAAGAGGGGCAAGCCAATTACTCCATGGGATTGCACCGGGCTCAAGAGGTTCTGCTGGAGCGGATCCGAGATGGGAAGGAGCTCCCAAAGCCATGCGAGAACCCTGAGGAGTTTGACTCATCCATCTACTACTCCGAAGGCGAGGACGCCACTGGTGGGGGTGAGGACACCGCCGGTAACTGAGCGTGGCTGGCCCACCGATGAACTCCACCCTTATTTCTTTTTTGATGTAATGTTTTTGTGCTTGAACAATGTATTTTTGCACTGTGCAACTATTACCCTTGACTCTTCGTGGTTTGTGATGCCTTTATTGTTTTGCTCCGACCCTTAATCGTATTTCCTCGAATAAGTTTTGGAGGCCGAACGGCCGTTGACGGGGTGCTTGCGCTTGCCCATATGGGGCCACGCTCACGTTAGGCCTGCCTTGACATAGACGTGCCAGCCTCGTCTCGTCTCCTAACCGAGGACGAGCGCGGGCTCGCCTGACCCGCGTGGCGCTTTGACCAAACACCTTGGTCTTGGTGCCTTTGGCCACTGGTCTACTCTGCGGCATTTGCGCCGTGTACTATCCCCTTTTTCAGGGATGAATAAGATATGAATTTGATTTTATGTTTTTTTTATTTGTTTTATGTTTTTTTTGTTATTATTTTGAACGTGTGTGTTTGACCTCCATCCGGGAAGAACATCCGGGTGTGGCCTACGCTCGGCTTTCCTCCCGAGGAGAAGTGCCGAGCGCAAATGTTTGACCTTCATCCGGGAAGAACATCCGGGTATGGTCTGCGCTCGGCTTCCCTCTTGAGGAGGAATGCCGAGCACGAGTGTTTGATCTCCATCCGGGTATGGTCTGCGCTCGACCTTTCTCCTGCGGAGGAACGCCAAGCGCAAGTGTTTGACCTCCATCCGGATATGGTCTGCGCTCGGCCCTCCTCCTGAGGAGGAACGCCAAGCACGAGAGTTTGACCTTCATCCGGGAAGAACATCCGGGTATGGTCTGCGCTCGACCTTCCTCCTGAGGAGGAACGCCAAGCACAAGGGTTTGACCTTCATCCGGGAAGAACATCCGGGTACGGTCTGCGCTCGGCCTTCCTCCTGGGGGGAGCGCCGAGCGCGAGTGTTTGACCTCCATCCGGGAAGAACATCCGGGTATGGTCTGCACTCAGCTTCCCTCCTGAGGAGGAACGCCAAACACAAGGGTTTGACCTTCATCCGGGAAGAACATCCGGGTATGGTCTGCGCTCGGCCTTCCTCCTGGGGGGAGCGCCGAGCGCGAGTGTTTGACCTCCATCCGGGAAGAACATCCGGGTATGGTCTGCACTCAGCTTCCCTCCTGAGGAGGAGCGCCGAGCGCGGGTGCTCAAGCAGGTTCTTTTCGCAAAAAACTTCATTCCATTGAGTTCAACCGAAAAGATCTACGGGTTCCCACTTTGGGGTCCGTGTACATAAGAGGTCTACTGATAAATCTTAACCAAGTTCTCGGCATTCCATGTCCTGGGCACGTCCCCTCCGCTCGGCGTCTGCAGGCGGAATGTCGAAGGGCCCACCGCTTCTTTGATGATATATGGGCCTTCGTAATTTTTGGCAAACTTTCCTCCTTCTAGGGGGCGGCTCACCGTTCTCTTGCGCAGTACCCAATCTCCTTCAACGAACCCCCGCGCGCGCAAGCGCCCATCATGGTAGCTCTTCACCTTCCTGCGGTAATTTTCTGCCCGAATGAAGGCCGCCTCTCGTCTTTCATGCACGAGGTGGAGCTCGGCTGCCAGGGCTTCCTCATTGCGCTCGGGGTCAAAGACCGCCTCCCGGTGGGTTGCGATGGAGATCTCTGCGGGTGCCCTTGGCTCAAATCCGTAGCATAGAGCGAACGGAGTTTCCCCGGTCGCCCTTCGGGGCGTGGTCCGGTAAGTCCATAATATGTAGGGCAACTCCTCTGCCCACTCCCCTCCACAAGCTTCCAACTTTCGCTTCAGCCCGTCGGCTATTGTCCGGTTGGCGTTCTCGACCTGCCTGTTCGTCTGTGGGTACCGAACCGACGCATAGCTGTGCTTGATGCCCCAACTCTCGAGAAAGTCGTTAAAGGGCTTAGATTCGAATTGTGTTCCATTGTCTGTGATTACATGTTCGGGAACGCCGAAGCGGCAGATGACTTGCTTCGCGAGAAACTTCTGGCATTGAGCTCCGGTGATGCTCGCCAACGGGGCGCCTCCACCCACTTGGTGAAGTAGTCGATGGCTACAATGACATATCGCACGTTCCCGGTACCTCTGGGAAGCGCACCCACGAGGTCCACCCCCCACCACGCGAACGGGATAGCTGTGCTGGTGGGGGTATAGTTTGTTGAAGGCCTCCCCGGTACCTTCTGGAACTCTTGGCACACCTTGCACTTTCTCACGAACTCCGCGCAATCCTTAACAATTGTTGGCCAAAAATATCCTTGGAGGGTTATCTTCCTTGATACCGCATAGGCTCCTTGGTGGGCGGAGCAGATCCCCGCGTGCACCTCCTCCATGACTTGTTCCGCTTCAGCTGGTCGGAGGCACCTGAGTATCGTACCGTTGTACGCTCGCTTGTATAGCTTTTCGCCCTCCAAAGTGTACCCCGGTGCCCTAGTGCGGACCAACTTGGCCTTTACTGCATCGTCCGGGAGGGCGCCATCCTTCAAGAAGGCAACTATGTCGTCCATCCAATCTCTCGGCCGAGCACAGATCATCGCCGAAGGTTATATTTCTCCATAATCTTGAAAACTCCTTCTAAGTCTTCCGCATGGGTGGTCGCCTGCTTGCTCTTCACAATCATGTCATCGACGTACGCTTCCATGCTCTTCCCGAGGACGGGTGCAAAGAGCTTGCTCACCATCCTAGCGTAGGTCGCCCCGGCGTTCTTGAGCCCGAAAGGCATCACCTTATAACAATATACTCCGCCAGGGGTAGTGAAAGATGTCTTCTCTTCGTCCTCGGGGTGCATCCGGATTTGGTGGTACCCGCTGAAGGCGTCCATGAAACTCATGAGCTCGCAACCCGCCGTTTCTTCCACCAGCTGGTCGATGTTCGGGAGTGGGAACGGATCCATAGGGCAGGCCTTATTTAGATCGGTGTAGTCCACGCACATCCTCCAAGTGTTTCCCTTGGGTGCCAGCACCACGTTGGCCATCCACTCCGGGTACTTAACCTCTCTGATATGCCCAATGCTCTAGAGGGTGGCCACCTCCTTGGAAACAAACTCCATCCGCTCGGATGAGAGGAACCGCTTCTTCTGCTTCACCGGCCTAGCCTCCAGGTTGACTGCCAAGCAGTGACATATGACCTTGGGGTCTACCCCCGGCATATCCCCGGGTCCCCATGCAAAGATCACGCGGTAGGCGGAGAGCACGTCCACTAAGCGCTTCCGCTGGCCCCCGGTCAGGCTCACCCCGACCTTCACCTTCCGCTCGGGTGCCCGAGGGTCGAGCGGCACTTCCTCGACCTCCTCAGGGGGCTCGGCCTTCGGCCGTGCTTCCAGCTTCCGCATTTCTTCTTGTGCGTGCACGACCAACGTCTCATCTCTTGGCAACTTCTTTGTGATTCGAACATAGCACGATCGAGCTAACTTTTGGTCTCCCCTTGCCACCCCGATTCCTGAAGGAGTGGGGAACTTCATGCACAAGTAGTATGGGGAGATCACACATTCCAAGTCCTCAAGGCCGGGCTGTCCTAAGATCATGTTGTGCGCGAAGCTGATGCTCACAACCATGAACTCCATCCTCAACCTGGCCTTGTGCGCACCATCCCCTACTATCACGGGCACGGTGACGACTCCTTCGGCCTCGATGGAGTCCCCCGTGAACCCGGAGAGAGGAGTGGGCACGGGCCTTAAATCTTTGCGGTCCAAGCCGAGGTCTTGAAAGGTCTTCTCATACATTATGTTGACCGAGCTTCCCGTGTCCACCAAGGTGCGGTGCACTATGGCATTGTTGATCTCCATCCTCACGACTAAGGCGTCCCGGTGGGGGCTCGGCGTGTCCGGAAGATCCTTCTGCGTGAATTGGATTTGCTCTCGTCTTCCGAGCTTGGGCGTCGGCGCCTGTTGGACCTTGGCGACGAAGGCCATGTGCTTCCACCTCTTTCTTTGAGCGGCGGAGTCCCCGCCGATATTTCCTCCATGGATGAACCCCACCGGATATCCTTGGGCTTCGTCCTCGGCTAGATCATCACACTCTCGCCCAATGTGCCTCTTCTCGGGGTTCCTCGCTTGCGTGGCCACCGCGACCGGCTCGGTCGGCTTCCTCAATGTTCTCCCTTCTGGTGGACCCCGGGAAGAGGCTGCTCCATCGTCTCGCGGAGCCGGCCCTCGGGCGATGAGTCGCTGCAT